TTTGCATGATTAATTTAAACAAATTCATCAAAAATTTTACCCAACAATGAAAATGGGAGGCTGCTTGCGTACCTTAAACTAATCACTTAAAAAATTATTTTCTTTGCGTTTTTGGATTATACAACAAGATTCTTTTTTTAAATGATTATATTTATTAATTTTTTAAAAATTCAACGTCTTTTTTGTCCATAAATATACTTATTCTAAATGATTTGATAAATGATAAAAAGTTATATTTTATGCAAGTTTTAAAAATGTTGTATGAGTCATTGAAAATAATTGTGTTGAACACATACATTGAAATGTGATTTATCATGTGCACAGGTATTTATCAAATTCAACTTTCTAAAGGTTTTATATGATATTTAAGCAAATTTAATGTTATTAAGCTGAATGAAATCATACAATAGTTTCACTCGTGTTCTATTTACAAGCATGCGCTATTGATGATACTATTGAAATGAAGGAAACTCAAATAGCTTGGAGTGCATAAGTTTCAAACATACTATACAATTTGTGCAAGAGATGAGCAGTAAATGAGTTTAAAATAAATCTCTTAGAGAATTTTCAAAAAAGCATTGTTATTTGCAGTGATTGATTTGTGTTATTCCTGACATTTCATAATCACAAGAGTGTTTTGATATGCAAATACGATTTTGAACAAGTAGTTGAAACATCAAATATTTTTTTAACATAGTTTTAAATACATCATTTATATTTGATAATGTTTTTTTCTAGTATTCATATCAGATTTTGGGGAGTGATTTGAAAACATTAAACAAAAGATTTAACATACTTCAAGATACATCCTTTATATTTGCCATTGTGTTTTGTTTGAATTCAATAGGCTGAGCTTGTTTAGCTCAACATGCATGACGTTAGGATGTGGTTAGTGGATTCACAAGGCTTTTACCAACTTTATCCCTCAATAGTTAGCGAACACCATTGCCACATGCTCATACTTTAACTTCAAGAACTGCACTCCTGATAGCCACCAATTTACCTTTTTACCATTTGCAATATACCAGTTCAGCCCTAGGTCTCTCTTAAAATGTAAACACCAACTACATTATACACTCATTCTATTGCCTCTAAACTTGAGTGCACTTAACTAACTGAGATTACGTAGATAGTGACACTGTCATCCACTCCACCTCTAAAAAATTTAAAGATGCTGATTTAGACTTGATTGACTAAAGTTTATTGTTGGAATCTCGCTAATACTGGTAGATATCAGAATTTCAATACAAGACTTCGTGAGCAGGGTAAAAGTTTTCAGTGTGAGAGAACAATACACTCTCATCTCCGTTGCCATTGCGTAGGACTTTCCTTAGACTTTTTCGGCTTTGGCTTTGTGGATTTGCAAACGTTACTGTTATACCCTAGTCCGAGTTTGAGACTACTTGCGATTTTGCTGGAGGGCTTGACTTGCTCATAAATTTCAAGTGGTCTTGATTGCAGGAGGCATTTCAGGCAGAGCTGGGAAGTCTTATTGAGCAAATCTTGGACTATCCGTATGCATGTGTGCTTCGCCATCAAAGCTAGTCAATTCCAGATTCACAGTCAAGTCAACTGAGTTGATCAAGGGTGGGATGGTAGATTCTCTTTCCGTCGAGTGTGCCAGATATTCTTGTTCGTTTCCTCCTCTACCGCTGAGATCGTCAAAGTGCTATGCCCCTAGAATAAAGTTCATATAAAACAGTTTCTTAGACTGCAAACTGGTTTCATGGATGAAACTCGACGTGGCCTCGGTGTGACCTCGCTACGCGTTTGAGAGGGTCAAACCCAATTTCCAAAGTCCCGCTTTAACCGTTGCTTAAGACATTCATAGAATGTCTTTGTGACCATTTGAGATCAGCTTATGCTCTTTACTCAAACTCAATTGCTAAGCTATCTAACATCTCGCCTGAACATCTCTAGTTTATTTTTCGCCGACATCCAATTACTTGACGTTTGACACGTTCCTCTTTGATGTTAGCTTTTTTCACGAATAAATGAATAGACTCGCACTCTAAACGCGGGTCCCTGAGCCAAAGTTCTTTGAAGGGGACCAAGTAATATAGCAAAAACGATGTGAGGATTTGATCGAGCTAAGTCCCCATAGCATGGCACATTCTTACATAAATTCTAACATGTAGAGGTATTATTTTTCAATTCCGCCTACGTTTTCTGGGGTTTTTAGCTAAATTATCCCTCGTAGCAAGGGTTGGACACATACGACAACTCTTGATCTCAAGGCTCTACCATCTCTTCCACTCGTCAGTGAATATTGTTCGGGCCGAAGATAGATACTGGTGCGGTTTTGGACAAGAGCACACGAGTTTGACGAAAAATCCGCATGAGTAGGTTTTGCTCATCGACAACTTCACCGTAATTTTGTTTTGTTGTGTAAATCTACCAGTAAAAATACCATTTGATAGTAATTTCCTTAATAAATAGGGATGCGCGCAGAACACTTCATACTGTACTTCGCAATATCTGATGAATATTATGGAAATTGAAATTTCTTATTCCTACATTTTTTATTTTCCTTTGAAGGTTTGTGTCTTCATTACGTTGTTGGAAGTCTACGTCCAAACTTAACTGCCTCCACTAGGGAACAACGAGGTGAGCAGCTGGCCTCGAGCCACCCTGCGGATCCCAATTCGCCAATTACCCAAGGCTCCGATATTATGCATGTCTCTCCCCCGCGCTGGTGATAAGGCCAGATAATTCTTGCAAGTGAATGAAAAATTATTATTCTTGCTTTTCTACTGTTTTCGATGCAATGTGCTCAAATGTCATACTGTTTGGTTTGTTTGATATATTGGATGACCTCGGCGTGTAACTAATGCCGAGACAATAGATTATTTCTAAACTGTGGCTCATTAAGCCTGGAACGTGACTGGCTTGGCACATCTACGTGTTTGAGTTTCGAGGATTTTAATGAAAAGGAGTTCATGCATATGTCGTCCCTCTGTCAACGGCAACAGACTTCACAAACCCTGACAAATGGGTGGGTGAGAAGAAGGACCCCACTCCAGCCCGACCGACTTCTTTATGGGCGGCCAGAGCGGCATGAACAAGGGGCGGACTTTGTGACTGGTATTCCCTCGACGTATAGTCATGCTCCGAGTATCACTCTTTATGCAAGTTGAGAGGGTTTTGATATTTCCTTACATGCATCCATCTCACATCCGTTGTGTACTTTTGTCAAGCATGAACAATTATTTCCTTGATGGTTGACAAACCGTATTGAATATGATTTAAAAGTCATACCTTTTGGTATGTTTTTTATCGTACCATCGTGATTTTTTTCACTTTGACAAAGAAAAATTTTAGGTTAAATTTCAAGTCTCGTAATCTATTTGTCTATTTGGATTCATAAGGTTTTGTGTTTCATCTTTTATTAAAAGATGATCCATATTGAATATGATATTGATTTCTTGACTACCAAGAATTAATTTGAAGAATATTAAGTTAAGATATTAAGGGCTATGTTGTGATCTCCACTATGCATTTCTCTTCATCTGTACAACTTGAAAGATAAATGACATAAACAAATTGGGTACACAATGCTAAGAATGCTAGTAGATTCTGATCGTTTTGTTTCTCTTTGATTTTATCGAATTACATATTTTTTTCATTCACATAAGTTCTTAACATGATTGATAAACTTTGATAGAAAGATGATCGACATATTTCATAACCTTAACGGATCCAAGATCTGTAATTGAGATGAGATGAAATTAGACAAGAGAAAACTATGTTTGCCAGTTTTGTGTGCTGCAAAAAGTGATAACTATTCTTATGAGAAGGTAAATTTATTTTGCAAATTTGGCATTATAACAATGTAAACTTTTCAATGTATTCTCGCATATATACAATTTTGAGATGCATGAAGGAGATGAAGATGCAAAAAAAGCCATAACAATAATATTACAACATAGGGAAGATGATTTGTCCTCTCATATATATAATGATTTCCAAGATTATTTCTCTTTGCTCACAAATTGAATGAAGGTCTGATATATATATATATATATATATATATATATACATACAGCGATAATTTCAGTAGTTCTTCATATTTTCTCCTATTGAAATGATAGATCTTGATTCGATTATATACAATGACTTTCTTACTTTTTTAACTACAATTTTGAAGAGTCTAAGTCTCTATCATCGCAAAGTGTTGATCAGCATTTAAACCATCTAAGTTATGACTATGCAAAAAGTTTACATCATTGTTACTCTAACTTTAGAATTATATAACTATCAAACACATAAATCAACATTTATGAGAGAGAATGCAAAAATACACCAAACTAGTGATACATATTTTTTTAGACTTATTATATCATATATTTTAGTCAAACTGGATTTCGTTATTCTACACCAAGTAAATACGTTAAGAATCATCAGAGAATATTTTCTTTTTGAGTAACTTTTTTAAGTATCTAAATATACTGTTAGAAGTCAATATTACTGTAATTATTGCGTCACTGTTGAATTTAATCTCATTCACGAATTTCATCCATGTAAAAATCTATCGATCTTCCCATAAAATTTACAGGAATTAGAAAATGGTCTAGGTAAATGCAACAGCACATTATGTGGGGACCAAAACATCATGTACTCCACACGTGGATTCCGAATTTTTTGAGATCACATTGTGTCGGATGAACAGCCAAACATTTGGAATGTTTATACCAGACCTTTGGAAAACTAAATTAGTGTGGATTTTTCAGAAAAGGCAGGTAAGGACATGAACGCAGAAGAGAATGCATGTGCGAAACTTGCTCATCGTGACACCGAAACAGTATTTCATGGGCTCCCAATTGCCACAGCATGCTCGTGCGGGCACTCGATGAGATTAAAAAAGAATCTCGGAATGGACCAAACATTTAGGGCTCATATTCAACATCGGGCAGAAGGCCCAGCGCCGTCGGTGTCGTTCGCCCTGTGGCGCTGTGGCCGTCCCGGTTGACCAAGAACACTTGCCCGTAACGACTCCCGCGTTTTAGTGGAGGATGCGAACTTGGATCCATTGTCTTTGTCTATTTCATCATCGTCCGTGGGAGCCTTAGGTCTCCAAGAAATGTCAGAGAAATGTCAGAGTCCATTTACGAGCCACCTCAAGATGTCTGCAATTGGGCCACAACGGAATCCTCAATAAACCTTCACGGATGGAATTTGGGAGCATCTTGAGCAGCTTTCGACTGGCTGCGGAGTTTGTCTGCTCAGCAGCGCGGTCCCAATTGCAGCATATGCGATTCTGATAAGTATTGGTATAGTAGTGAATGCGCAAGTGAAAGGCCGGCAATTCTTGTGGGTTGCAGTCTGCACTCGCAGTGTTTGGCGCGCTCATGCTGAGTATGAGAGCTCTCGTACGCCGATTGGTACAGAGCTGGAAGAGTTGGTGGGAAGTTGAATTCGCAGCTCGTCCAGAAAGGATGCCGACTTTAGACAGGTCGTAGCGTGCTACTTGCGAACTATTGTGAACTAGCGGTTCGCAAACTGGTATGGAACTTCCAAGATCAAGAAGGTCTGCCCATTCGCCGCTGGGACGGAAGTCTGATTCTGCACATACTCACACGCCTGTCGCTGATGAAAAAGGATCCAGATTGCCCGTGCTACTAAGCAGTGTTCTTCTTTTAGCTCTTGGAGGGACTTTACTGTACACTACTTCCTTCTCTCTCAATTGTGGCGATCAACTGGAGCAATCGTTGTCTCCATCGTTTGAATCAGATTCAAGTGCACCGACAATCAGAAAGGTTTTGGATGGTGGAGTCTTGCCGACCTCCCACGTTTTGGACGAACTGAAACTGAGTGATGCAGACAACACGCTTGGAGGTCTTTTGGCGGATCTTTCTGAATTCGACTCCAACAGTTGCGCCAGTCGAGCTCAGCACCTGCAGAGAAAGACCAAATTCAAGCCTTCTCAGGAGCTCGTTCAGAGATTACGAAGGTATGAAGCTCAACATCGTAAATGCGCTAGCCGAGCGAAGGATTTTGGTCAACCAAAGTCCGGAAGCCGAGTGGAAGTGCATGACTCCGAGGCACCTGAAGAGGATTGCCGCTACGTGGTATGGATCGCCTACAGCGGTTTGGGGAACAGACTCATGACACTTGTTTCAGCTTTCTTATATGCTCTTCTTACGAACCGAATTCTCCTAGTGGATAGAAGCTCCGATATGAGCAAGCTGTTTTGTGAACCGATTCCTCGGACTTCTTGGCTCGTCCCCTCCGAGATCACGGTCGAATTCGTTCAAGGCTTGAACGAATCGTCGCCACAACGTTTTCGCCACGGGTCTAGCACAGCCGGTGACAATTCATCTACAGCTGAGTTCTCCTACGTTCATCTGACTCATACTTCTGATAGCGGGGATGAGATGTTTTTCTGCGATTCAGGCCAACAGCAGCTGGACACGAAACCGTGGCTATTCATTAAGTCCAATAGTTACACAGTCCCGGGATTATTTTTCATCACCCAATTCCGTGCTGACTTGAGTGTACTTTTTCCTGACAAGGAAGCAGTCTTTCATTTGTTGGGGCGATATCTTTTCCATCCCTCTGATGCAGTGTGGGGATGGATCACTCGGTTCCACAAATCCTACCTTGCACACCACGATCAGCAAGTGGGGATACAAATCCGAACATTTGACGACTCGCCGTTGCCTTATTTCTTAGAGCAGATTCAAGAATGTGTTGAGCAGCACGAGCTCTTGCCGAAGGTAGTAAAGAATGTGGACTCGATCAGAAGGTCGGAGGAATTGCAGTTGCAGAATCTGCAGGCTTCCGAAAAGGACATAACCGTCCTCGTGACCTCTCTGCATCCGTACTATTACGAGAACCTCCGGGATGTTTACCTGTCTGGGCCTACCGAAGGTGGGGAGAGCGTCTCGGTTCATCAACCCAGTCACGAAGGCTGGCAGAAAACCAACACCTTTGGGCACGACCTGAAAGCTTGGGCTGATATCTATCTCCTGTCACTCAGCGATGTCTTACTCACGAGTGGCTGGTCTACCTTCGGATACTCAGCCCAGGCACTGGCCGGAGTCTCACCTTGGATTCTACCCAGATCAACGGATGGTCAGGTACCCAATCCCGTCTGTGTGAAAGCCCGATCTATGGAGCCATGCTTTCACAGGCCTCCCCTGCTTAAGTGTAAAATTCCCGAGGGTGCAAACCCTGCCACCATCCTGCCGTACGTGCAGCCCTGCGAAGATGTGAAATGGGGCATCAAGTTGATCACTACACCTCCAACGCAAGTACGGGACCACCTGTAAAATGATCAGTGAACAGAGCTTTGGCTTCTACGGACGCAAAGCTTGCCTCCGTGTTGACACGAAGGAACGCGGGTTTGGCACTCGTCTGGACACAGAGAATATATGGAATTAGAATTAGAATTAGAATGTGTGAAATGACAAGACGAGTAGCGGATGCGTGCAGGGCCTACCTCAGTCCAGGAGGTGTATTCTGCACTCCCGGGGGAACCTGGGGGAGACGGCGATGGTGTGACCACTCCAATTGTCTTCTGCTATTTTGTAAATTTGATATAAAAATGACTCTCCTGTACCCTGGCCGCCTCAAATGTCTCAGTGTTGTCTTCTTTTACGCACTTCGCATGTCAGAGATTCTTCCAGGTAGATGACAGGCATGGGCTGCATGCTTCGGTCCGCGTCACGATCTGAAAATTGTCAATTGTCCGCATTCCAACGTCCAAAGGTTCTAGAAATAGGACTAGGGCTCATCCGAGTCAAAGGGCCGGAGAAGGTTCCATCAAATTGCTGCGTACGAAACTGAAACGATATCTAGTTGCAAAAGTTTGCATGCCTTGTTTGTGCCTTGTTTGCTAATCTGGTTATATTGAATATAATTTTTCTCGCGTAAAAGCAGTACCACAGAATACACATCGCGTCTGGAAAAAGAAGGAGGCCATTCAATGTAGCGAAAAGGGAAATCCTATCTAACGTTGACATGGATGAAACCGAAGGAGGAATGCAGTAACCAATACAATAATAGATTATTGCATCTAAATCATGTGCATTATTTAGCTCAAACCATATGCATTATCATCGAATAACCTGAAAGTTGAATAACAATGTATACGTTTTCATGGTCTTTATGCAGTCGTATAATCTTCTTGGAAAGAATCGGGGGCCAAGTCCGGGTTTCTTGGAAATTAAATATTATTTCTTGATGAACGATATACAAACATGGCGTGACTTGGAACACTAAGGAAATTACAACTGTAAAGATTTCTGAAGTCTTCTTCTCGTTTGAAGTTACATTTGGAGAGGCACTTTTTGATCTCAAATGAGAGATTTTACATCTTTAATATCTAACTTGTTTATCGAAATGTTGGGCATTGCTCCTAATGCCCGTGAGTAGGGCTTTGTGAATGTGAAGCAAAAATTAATTCTTGAAAATCAGGATATATTCTATCCAAAGTATTCTAATATACTTTGTCAATGAAAAGTATACTCTTATCCTTGCATTACATTACTCATTAATATTTATAAATATTTACAGAAAAGATCTATCTTTTTCGCCTGGTGGCGTTTTCCAGTAAAATATTTTAATTTCTCTAAACAAAAACCTTCATATCACCTCAACCAAATAAAGACATGAAATTTTAAGCTTTTTGCAAAGTGTTAATGATTATGTTATGGCACATACTGTTAAGTTTGATTGATGACTAAAAGATCTAAGAAACCACAGAAGTTTATCGCCATGAGGTTATGGAATATGAATATCTGACCCAAAATTTTTGGTCTAAGTTTATGAAAGCATAGGCACAGAGTGCACAATCATACTTAAAGTTTTACTTAAATGTACGCATGGTTGAATACCTTTTGGTTTAATATTTTTTTGAAACTATCCCGCATACAAACGTTATTATTATGTACTAGTCGCAAGTCTAAAACTCGTTATTTGTGTGTTTAAACTGTACCTCATGATTTCATTCTTAGAGAGCTCTCTGTCAACTAATCCATGGGCTGTGCTTTAAACTCTAACTAGTGGTGCATTAGCTTACATAATGAACTTCGGAAGCATACCCTACAAAATTGCTCTCGAAGTCGATGACTTGCTCAAATAATAATCATGCGATTAACCAATATTTACGTTCATTACACTTTTGATTATTCAAATGAATAATACATGATGAATGAGCTTTTAGAGTATTTTGTCAACCAAGATTCATGTGACCACGAGCACATCAATTGACTTAAAAAAATGATTATAAAATATTCTCAGTATCCATTATTTCAATCAATGTTGAAATATTTAGATTATCTGCTAACACTATTTTCTTTTGCAATAACTGCTTTTGAAGTGAAGAATGAAATATTTGTTCTTGTGATACAGAGTAAGTATACTAAGATAATCAACTAGTGGCTTGAATTTTGAAAAACGTCTTAGAAATTCATGCATCATAGTAAATTTATTTAATAAATGATTTGGTAAATAGTCTAAATCATTTGACGATATGATCAATTTATGAGTAAGTATGATCAATTTTTAGGATTTTAACTATTATGATTTTATACTTTCCAAATTCAGTTATGGAAATTAAAATATGATTGGATCATGATAGATGATACGTTTCTAGCATGTATTAACATTTCATTTATATTCCAAAAGATATCAATTATAATTTTGTTTATCATGTTTGTTAATGAGAAAGTTTAGTTATGAGCACCGTCGTAGCTATAGTGCAATGTATCCATGCAACATCGGAGATCGACGTCGATCGGAGACAGACCAGATGTGGGGACGTGGAATTGACAACAAGTTGAGTCGACACAGCTACGAATCCGTAACGGATCGCTGTCGAGTTCGAAGCGTTGGAGCGTCCCACCTGTAAACTCACAAGGCGGCGGAATCCAAATTTGAAGCATTCCAGATCAGCTGCCGTCCGCAAGAGAGACTGGCGCGGTCGGGGCTCGATTCCCCAAGACTCCCAGAATAAAGCTGTTTTCGAGCTCTACTGGGACCATTCTTGCGTTTTACTTGTAGAGAGAAGTGGTGTTTCTTCAATTGCACACTAGCAGCTGCGCCTGCACTAGGGAAATCTTTGTCTGTTTCCATAATCGCCGCAGGTGTGATTTCTCGCATCCGTCAAGATGCCTAGTACCGAGCAAGTCAAGGAACAGGCGCACCATGTGACGGAGAAAATCCGTGAGCATTCTCCAAACCAGAGCCAGGTCATCGGATTGGTCACGATCATCACAGCAATTCTACTGTTGCTGACAATCGGAGGTCTGCTTCTCGGCGGAGCAGCAATCGTGGTGACGCTGGTGACTCCTGTTTTGGTATTCTTCAGTCCAATCTTGATACCTCTAGCGACGATATTCTTCCTCAGTACTGCAGGAATTGTGTCAGCAGGCGGCTTTGGTCTCGCTGCATATTCCGCCTCCCGCTGGTTGTACGAGTACGTCAAAGGCCGTCATCCCGTAGGCTCAGACAGAGTGGATGCGGCGAAGAGTCGACTGGTGGATACAGCTTCACATTTGAAAGAACGAGCAAGTGGCTATGTCCACGGCGTGCAGGAGAGTGCTCAGCATGCCAAGGACCGAACAGTTGACGCTGCAACAACATGAAAAACAAAGTTACCTCGAAGTCTGCTATAGAAGATTATAGAATCCATTATCATGAATTTGCTGTTGTTACAAGTTTACGACCTAAGATGTCTTGTGCACAAGCTAATGAGGATGATGAGAGTCAGACGAAAGTATGAAGCTGGTATCTGCCATGCTTTACATTCTGAGCTAGAATTCTGCTGAGTATGGCATTATGGGAGTCTTTCGATTGAATCAAACCTGATTTGCCATATCACGGCACACATATCGCTACTCAAGAAACAGCTGTATGCGAGTGTGGTTTTTTTTTTCACCTTTTTTTCTTTTCTTAGCTTTTGTTGGTCCAATAAACTCGTGGGTAAAGGGCATGCACGAAAGTTTGTGTCTAGACGTCCTCACTGCCTGGCTTCCTGCCAGCTGGATGCTGTCAAAGATGTATATTTCATATTGTCTTTTAACCTTGCGACATCAAGATAAATGATTACAAGTCATTGCTGGTTTAGTTTGTCATCATTTTGATTATTTCATCCTTACTCGAGGCGATTGTAATGCATGTTTTATGGCTTTAGTCTTTCAATCTCGACGTACTTCGGTCATGTGTTTCTTCTATTATGATTGGTAGTTAAAGTTATGATTAATTGATCATCAGCCTTGAGAAGTTTGAAGAAAAATTAGTCTGAGTTTTGCTCCATCTTCGCATGCTACCAACCAATCAATATTGCGTAATGTTTGCGTATTTTTCGTTTTAATGAATGTCCTGGAAACCATGGTTTCAATGTGAACAATAGTCTTGCATACTAGTTGGAAAGTAGCTGTTCGAACTGTAGTAACGGGTATGCAGAAGACTACCTGAACGAAGGAGTAGATTCTTCAGGTTCATGATCTACTGTTATTTTATCATTAAGAATGTCTGAAGAATCTACACATGATGATAGATGAAGACCCAGATGTCGCGGAGTACCTGCGGGCCTCTAGAAAGGAAAATATGAGCTTTCCACAGTTGGACTATAATTTGTAGCCAACGCGCACAGCTTTCTCTTGCAGCTGTCACATCGTATGGGTTTTCCCTAACAGCCTTCCACTCCCTATGGATTAGAATCAAAGACTCACGTCTAAGGGGACTGCACTCTCGTCAGATCGTGATGTCGTGTCTACCAGATAGGAGACCATAAAATTATCGGGTATGACTCATGCCCGATGAGTCTCTCAGATCTTGGTTACGACCTGCGACCGCTGGATTAGGTACAAAGCCCACGTGTTTGCTTGTCGAGGGCTTTACTTAAGTTTTCGTTCAGTTTTGTTCATGGAAGTTCACAAAGAGCATTCACATTTTATCCCTTTATATTTTTCCTCAACATTTTAAGTATGTTTCTCCGTCTTGAGGCCTCTCGCCAGATTCGCTCAATCATCTTGTCCAGGTAACGGCTTCTTTGAATTTCTAATATCACTCTGAACCTGAGCGACGCTCATATAGATCTGAGGCTTAGAGGGGAGAGTTATCTGATATACCTGTGGATAGTATTAGTGCTCATATATTTTAAAACTTTATTGAATTTTATTTCTTGTGTATCCATAACACCCCAAACTGAAAATTTGTTAAAATCTACTCGTGTGGTCACAACGTGGCACTACTCACGGGTTTCGGTTATATGATGAAATATTGAAAAAAAATAACCGAACATTGAATGATATCTTTTCCTACAAGCATTTTCTTTTCAAGTTTCAGTATAAAGAGTTCTGAAGAAGAAAATTGCACGGCTAGAATTTGAATCGAAATTGCATATTGTGATTTATTGAGTAGCAATTGGAGTGTTATGAAGGTATATGTCTTTTCATTGAAAAAATATATTTAGGCAAGATTTATAGGTATGATCTAATAGTTATGGTTTATAGATCAACATAATGTCAATAGTATATAGAATATGATTGTAAATGTTACAAGGTCGATTAAGTTGTATGAAAGACGTGGTAAACTAGTGAAAATCGTTAACAAGAACATAAATAAATAAAATTATTTCAAGTATAATAATAATTGTCAAGTGGAGATGTCGCAGAAAAATGTGTTAATTTGGTACAAAAATTAACAAGATTTGATTTCGACATCTTGGAGAAAACGACATCCTTGATATTGACTGTACTTTCCAATAGATTATTGTACTTTTCACCAAATCCATCCACATAACATTCACTTTTAATAGATGAAAACACCATAGGAAATTGTAAAGTTTTCAATGTTAATGGATGTATATACATATAATTTTTTATATATTTATAAAATTTCACTGTTATACAATTTTTCGATTTTCAAAATTTGATGAGATTGAAAATTTTTGAAGATTATAATTTTTAGAAAACTATCATTCTAAGACATGAATCTGTTATAAAATTTGTTTCGTATTATATCTATGACTTATGTATAAATTTAGATTTTTTTTATCTATAAATGAAAATTTGAAATTTGAAATATTGTTATCATTGATCAACTGCTATAGTGGCTAGATTTTTCACATAATTTATAATTATAAGTTGAAAAAATGCTGATTATTTTCTCAAGTTGTTTGATAAGGTTGTACAAACTAGTGTATACTCAATAAAAATTATAATTAATTTTATATATTTTAAAAATAACAGATGTATAATCTGGATTTTTTTTCATAAATTTATTTTATCAAAATCATTTTAAAATAAAATAAAATAAAATAAAATGTATCACCAAGTATTACTATTCAAACTATCAAAGTCTAAAATGAAACACAAACTTAAATTGGTTGAAATGATGTGATTGAAATAAATTTTAGATGAACTTCTTTATCAAAATTGTGCAATGTCAATTAAATAGATACAAATAAATTGAATTAAAATTCATATAGAAATCAAATTTAATTAGCATCTGATACAATAGCAAAGTGATATGAAAATAATAATAATTTTGTGAACATGATTACATCTGTTTAGTTTGATTAAATTTCGAAAGTTGATAAACGAAAAAATAGATCAAAAATAGAATATAATATTTTCCTATTTGAATTAAAATTTTAAATGATAAAAAAATAATTTATGAGATTAATATGTTGAATTATATTTAAAAATTCATACTTGCAATAAATTGAAAAATATTATGAATCAAATATCATGGTATCATTTTGGTATTTGTGTTAATTTTTTTTTCTAGACAAATTATTTGTGTCATATATCTAGAAAATGACATAGGTTAGATTGAAAAAAACGTTTAAGTTAATTTTCAATTTATTATAAATATTTGTGAAAATAAATTGCATCAATTTATACAAAATTGATTGCAAATATTTTCAATTTTACAATGAATTAAACCTTGATAATATATTTTTGATATGCAGTAAATGTGGTAATATACATTATTGATGAAATTTCATGTCTGACTTTTTTTTGATTTTTTTGATACATTATAAAATAATATTGATTAAATTTTGACGTAATAAAATTTTTGGAAAAAATACATAAAATTTCAATTATATTTTTCATGAAAGATATGTGATGTTAGTTGATTTAATTACATGCTGCTCAAATTATATAAAAACTAGTTTATGAGAAATTTGATAAATTTGAGTGTATGTGTGATAATTTATACATTACAATATTTGATTTGAAAAATATATATTTATTGTTAGAGAATTCACAGCAATCACTATTTATATAGTGATACAGTATCATAAATCTTAGGTAAAATTTTATTTATTGATATCGCATCCATCATACTTTGATGATTAATCTCTAACTCCCCTATCATAGTTTTAATTTTCATGACATAACAAACTTAGTCTTCATTTAACCCATCCTATCACCATTGCTCATCTCCGTCATGAGCAATGGTGATGGCATACCCAAATCATCATTGTTTTGCTGCCTAAACCGTAAGTTTGTATGAAACTATGAGTCCAATTATGTTACCACATTTGAATTTAATTTTAGAAACGATAAAATCTTTGAATTAATTATTGACAGAGTAGTTAGAAGGATAAAAAGCATCAAAAGCTCCACAGTTTAGATGTAATAACATCAAGTGTTCTAAGTCTAGCCAAAAGTTAATTGTTTGAATGAGGAATATCTCTAGTTCAAAAATAGTAGCACAAGGGTAGATTTTGAAACTTTCAGGGATTCTAGAGTAGAAAGGTTTTTTGGTATCTTGAAATGAAAATAAATTGATTTAAAAAAAAATTAGGGTTGTTACAAGGAATTTGACGTATGTAGTTCAGTTTTTTTCAGAAGATATTCGATGAATCTTGTAAAAACAGTAAAGTAAAGTGGTAGAAGAGTAGATATTGGGGTCAGCAATAGTGATAGTGAGGAGGTGGTACACAAGGCACGGATTTTGATAAGACGCGTAGTAAATAATTGCCATAATTTTGAACCTTGTATGCTTCACTTCTAGGCGCCCGTTTTGAAGTAGGAAGAATTGAGGTACAATCGAACATCGAGACATACATTCACAAGCAACTCTCGTTTCTTTCATACGATTGGCCGCCTTGTGAATATGATCCGAAGAAGTTGTTGATTTTTTTGAACTAATATACTCAAAATTTCACAGCGGACAATCAAGCAGTGGCAACGATGCAACTGCTAGATTATTTCTAGCTTGTTTATCTTGCCGGATCTATATGCATATGCAATATCTTCACGTTTTTTAGTACAAAGAATTTTTTAGTATCAAGAATTGGATCTAAGAGTACGCGTCTAACGCCAGTGATGAACGGAATGGGATCTCCATAGAAAGCAATGCGGCAATCGTTAGCAAATAATTTTTAGATGGATTGTGAGATGTTGAAAACTATGTAACAGTTCATATAGCAGTCGCGTTACAAGTGAATGACATGGTTGAAGATGTTCTAACAACCGATATGGTGGCCAAACTTATGCGCTATATGAGAATCCACATTATTGGTAAAATCAATGTGAAAACTAGATCACAAGTAGAAAACAAAACTTTGATAAGTGGTATAACGAGGAAAAAAGTAGGTCACATAAGAAGAATGCATATGGGTTCATTGCATATGGAGAAAAATTGGAGCTCTATGAGACTTGGGATTGAAAAGGTTGATAAAGATGAATAGGCAATTGATAAGAGTAGTGAGCATGTAGCTGATGTTAAAGTCAAACAAAAAGATAAAAAATTAGTCGCGGAGAGAAAGATGGTAGGACTACTGTTGAACTTTCGATGAAGTTGGACATAAATATGACGCTAACGAGGACGTAGAGATACGTGAAGATAAGAGATGACACAAAGACAAAGTAGACTTAAAGCAAAATGGATAGTTAACGGAGAGTGATTTGGACACACTGGTTCATCAAGAAAGTAAGATGGAGATTCCAAAGCGGAGAAGTGACATTTGTCATCCAGAGGAGACATACAAAACAAAAAAGAGAGGAATGGTGATGGATGTGTTGAAACATCATAGACAATATTAGTAGTACTACTCTGTCAAAAATTCTTGGTGGATAAAGGTAACAATAATCTTAAAAATACTTTAGATTCAGGGAAAAATATAGTATTAAATAAAAAAGTAGGTTCATAAAAGGTTACGCCATCGCATCAAACCGAGAAAGAGGATGATGAGCCACACCGTGTGTCATGATTGCCAAGGTGGATTTGGAACGCATAATAAGAATAGCTGCAAGGCCGGCGTAGGTAGAAGCAAGGGCTGCATTTGCGCCAATAAAGACAATCAAAGTTGCTAGAGATGCAACAACTGAACTTGTCAAACTAGAGACACATGAAACTGCACTTGAAGATGATGCTATTGCTGAAGAAGTTGCAAAGCCTGTACCCGCGGCCGTTGTGGAGGTTTTGGAAGTCATTAATGTAAATACATGCAAATAAAATGCCAAAGCAGCTCCTGACCACAAAATGAAGTCAATTGAAGAAATTGCTGAGACAAAGTATCACATATGTAAACTATGAGAGAAATGAGTGTGTCGTAGAAGTGGAATCCTTGACAACCCAAAGATAATGTTAGTGCGTGCAATATCTTGAGAAGATGGGAAAGTATCTAAAATTATTGGTACTTCTTTTTCATGAATGAGGAGTGGAGATCTGTCTTGCTCAGTTCAAAGACAACAGCTAAGTGAAGAAAATGTAGAATTTCAACAAAGAGGTCATGCAAGAAGGCTGATATTTTTACAGAAAACGAGGAAGAGTGAATATGTCATTGTTGTTGAGTTAGACATAGTTCATGCGAAGAACTATCTTCATTGCAATGGAATCATTCATTGTGATCTCAAGCTTGACAAGGTGTTTGTAACATGTGATCAAGAGATTGTGAAACTTGTTAACTTTGTACTGGCAAAAGAATAAACATTTACGGAGATGATAATAGCAGAAACGGGGATTTACATTGCATCCAAGCTTTACAGCTCAGTTTTCTTTCATGTCGTTGGCGGGCAGTCGGTCATCGCAAGAAAAGTTGTTGAGAGGAGACATAATGATAAAACCAATACTATTCATTTGCTCCTATCAATATCAAACCAATATGTATATGATTGCAAAATAAATTTGAATATTTCACTAATTTTGATTGAAATCAACTTGTATCGATCTATGAATACATGTTTATTGTTATCTTTAATGTGAAAGTAAAGTGCGTTGTGTTCCGATATATATGTGCACAAAAATGAATTGAGAACCATTGTTGAAGGACAATTGATGATGTTCATTCATAACATATGGTTTTGCACACTTTTTAGGCTAAAATATAGTTCTTCAGAATTAAAATTTTAAGTTGTTACTTAAATAGCATAATAAAGTAACGCATATGACCTGATTCAGTTACATATAAAACATGATCATTACAATGGATGAGTCAAAACCACATACTAACATGCATCTAGAATACTCTGATCGCAACATGTTCGGTTTTTTACCTTTTGAATATATATATTGATTTCTTCTGGAATACATATTTTAAAATGTTCTACATGTTATAATTTAACGTATTTCATTACTGTTTCAACTATGTATGTGTTGAAAAAGTTAAAGATGAATGAAAAGATGAAAGATTTGAAGAAACTCATGATATTAATATGAAATCATCTGATTTATAAGTTGTTGTTTTGATAGATTGAGTTATCTCATTTGATACAATATCTAAACTTATATACATTGAACTTGCGTAGAATTCGAGTCTGAAACTTATCTCAAGAGTTTGCACTTCAAATTTTAATACGTGAATGTTAAAATTATTGAGACATGACAATGTTGCCATTTCAGATTTGTATAATCAGGTTCATTGACAACACGTTAAACTGGCAAGAGTTCATCACAAACAAGATTTTATTTGTTCTTACAATTATTTCCATATTACATTGAAGGTGATAATATTAATCGTTCTTATGTACTATATGGATCTGACGTCGTTGACTGACGATGACGCCCAGTTGTTGTCTCAAAGTCTAATCCCGAGTTCGGAAGGGAACAATAGTTTACGCAGTTCTCTCTAGGACGGTTGCTGTAGCAAGTTTTGGTGTGGTGATCTCCACCTCACATATCAAACCGAAGGATATATCACTTGCTAACAAATATTACTTCTGTTTTCATCTCGGTGGGTTTCGTGTGACTGCATGCACACTATTGTGAAACTTCACACTCTAAAACGGAATCTGTTTTGAAACCAGCTCTAGGCTTCCACTTCGATGTTCAGGTTGTCAATATAGTAATTAAAGTAATTCGTTCAGTTCAATTCTTCATTAAATAGACAATTCTTGATAGACAATCTGCAGCAGATCACTATGCGAAAATGCATCTTTTCATCGGAAAATTGCTCTACGTCCACACTTAGTTACAAAACTCGGGCTGAGATCTTGAGGAATTTCATCCGTTTTCATTATTTCTTGTCTGGATCTCCTGAGGGCAGGCGATTCAGTAAACATATGAGAAGCACTCCTAGGAGAGCGCCTGATAAGTGAGCTATGTGATTAATATTCATGGAGCTTTTCAAAGCAAAGCTCCCCATACTAGCAGATGCCTGTGCCTCTTCCATCACCTGTTATAGAGAGTTGATATCAGAATGCGAACTCTTGACAACGGAACAACCGATTCACATAGCACAATAAATCATAGCTAAACTTGATTACATGTTAATATCCTAAACATGTAGGCGTCAGTATAATAAAGTTTACGATGAAGATACACAAGTTAGTACCCAATTTTAATAATGTTTAAGAACAGCATGAAACTATAGCTTGTAGTCTTACCTTCTCCACTACGAACTGACCCAGTATCAAAACCTCTAGTATTTTTCGCCAATCGAAACTCATCTGCAGGAAGAACATGAAGTTCATTTGACGACAATTAGTATGACTCTGAAACGGAGTAAAAACAAATCAATGACATTTGATACATAAAATCCGGTATAAAGTAGCAAAACTCCAGAGCAATCTAGCTAAATGCAGTGATTTCTCTTAGAGGGACTTAAAATGTGTAGAGCGACAACCTTGACCAGCACACTGACTGCAAAGAGGCCAAAAACTGCTCCCGAGGCACCAGCAGAAATGACACTGCGCGGAAGTAACAACCAGGAGACCAAATTTGCACCAACTCCAGTAATCAAATAAGATAACCAGACTGCAAACCCTCCCTCCTCCTCTTCAATGAGCTTGCCTATCCAGGTTTGACGACATATCAGACGTGACTGACATATCAGTACACAGGACAAGACGTCTATAAAATTCAAAAGATACTTATACAGCTCGGTTGACGATCAGAAGTGAAAGAGGCCTATAACGTATATACTTCATCGACAAGTCTTAGAGGAAACGATTGGGACATATCGATAAATTGAAACGATGTGTCCGGAGAAATCAGTATATACTGATATACTCCGTACAGCATAAATGCTGTGAGCGAGACATACCGAAGATATAAAGGAAGAACAGATTGCTTGATAAATGTGTCCTGCAGAATCGAAGAGCGCAGATGTTAGGAACGGTACAAAGTTAATACGACACAGCTTCTTTTGCAAAAGCAGCCTTAGATTATTTCAAAGCTCACAGTAGCACGATTACCAAGCAAATTTCTGGTATCTGACTTTAAATACGAAGTCCAACCATGTAAAAGACCCTTTGGCCCCAAGGTGACAACAGACACTTTCAGACAACAGACAAGAGTTTTCAATATGTACGAATGCACTACTATACTCATTGGCAACGAACGGTCACACCCTCAAGACGGTAGACCAGGTGCAGTGGCTAAGCGATGATAGTGACAAAGGACGAGGAAGAAGAAGAAGTGGGAGACGATGAAGTTGGAGGACAAGGAGGGAGGAAAATCTAAAAACAAAGAGTCTCTCTTGGCATGGGCTTTTCCCCATGGAAAAAGGTTGGTTCAGACATTTCAAGTACCAGCCAAAAACTCTTCCACGAGGTCATCCATCTGTCTAGCTTCAGAACCCTTGAAGCAGATCCACACAAGACTGTAGCGTTGGGCTTCACATAGGCTGAGGAATTTTTAAAACAATCCGGAGTCCACCCAGCTTGGCAAGGTTATGGTGTAATGCAGTTCTCATTTTGTCAAGGGTGCTCTAATGGACTAAATTCAATGCAGCGGTTTCACCCTCTATGCCACCAGTGTGCAAGTCTTCTTGCGGTTGACAGGGATGATCCTCATCCGAGGCTTGAAGTTCAGTCGGGTGCAAATTCAAGGAAACCGCAGAAGAAATTGCTTAAAATCCAAAAACTCACATAAAGAGGGGTCAAAATTCCGCTTACTCACTGCTATATTTCTAAGAAAGCCACTTGACTCTTCCTAAAGCAAGCTTTTGAAAGGTAAAATGCCGTTTCGATCCCAAGGGCAGTTTTGTTTCCTTTGTTGTGTCCTGTACTCCACTCAATCAAGATGTACCAGATCTCCCTCACCTCTGAAGAGTCCATGCCGAACAAAGGGGCTGCCGGTGAGATAGCTTTCTCCTCTTATGTTTGGCAATGTCTCCTCGAACATCAAGGGGAGTGCGGATTCTGAGCTTACAAATACCCGAGCGGGCCGGTAGGGTACTGAAATCCTGCTACGAAATGCTATCAGCTGTACTGCTTCCAACCGGGTTGTTGAATGATACAACCATTCCATACTTCGGATCTATTGTGGTTCGTGTAATATGTTGAATAGCTTAACGTTCAGCTTCGGTGGTGGTAACCCAGCACCGGATGAAATACCACTAACCTGTTTGTGCTCCCTTTGAAGACTTCTGTATGTAAGATTCGAATACAATTTTCAGGGCAATTCAGCTCCCAGGCACGTGTAGGAGGGAACGAGGGTATAATCAATGACTCAAAGTCCACAGCTGGTCTTGCTTATGAGTTTGTCCATTTAAAGGTTATTACACCACATTTCTGCACATTTACGTCAATGCCCAACATGTCACACCCAGAATTTGGAATAAATCATATCGTCGAGCTTCTCCCTCGTTCCTTCTAGTCCACAAAAGTAACCAGCGAGCATCAGCGCTGGTACGTTGAAGTCCCTCTGGAGATGCCTAGACCATGCAAAATTACAAATTCTAGACAACATCAACCAGCCAGCTGCTGTCCTGAAATGAGAGGTTGTGATCGTTACTTAGCTTTTAGACGTACCAATTGATGTGACAGAAGGTTGCCGTCACGAACTGGTACCACTTAGGGTCACTGTGGTGTAGGTACAGATGTGATATGATGGGAAACTGTCACCAGATACCAAACACCGTACGCAAGATATGAATAAGCAGCACAAAGGTCTAAGTACAAGCAGAAAAAAAGAGGTGTTACAGTCGTTCATACATCCTCAAAAGAATGACATTCACGCAGGAATTGCCAATAGAGGGTCGGAAAACATATACGATATGTTCAATAAAACTATTAGTAAAGCACATAATGGTTTGCGATCAGGGCCTGTGGGCATGCTGGAAACGTACATGGAGCCAATGATCAAGCGCAAATATTCCCAGGTTTAACAGCAACAGTAGGAAAATTCCATTGTAGGAGTTCTTAATCTTTGATGACCCAACATTTTGCAGCTCCAAAGATGTTAAACCTGGAAGGAAACAACATTAACTCCATTAGTGTAAATCATAGAGTCGTAGAACGGAATCTCTCAAACTTCAACACGTTTCTGAAACCCCTGGTGTCAAACTTTTATCCTTGGTCCCAACTTACAGTATCAACAACTTCAAAAAAAACAAACAGTCTACTATTCACACAGATGATAAGGACGATCCTAACTTGAGAAAACGTCTCACTGCCACACCACTTGAGCACTACAATCTCGCCAACAAGGAATTGTAGAGAGTAGGCAAATCATATCACGAAGGTGCAATATAAACCTTTTGATTTTTTTCTATTTTTTTCCAAATCACCGTCGCGAGGGTAGTCTGCGTCGCAGTGAATCGACCTTCCTCTTGAAGGCTTCACGTTTTCCAAGTTCTTGAATGGAAGCCTCCCGTTTCTCATATTCTGAAGCACAGAAGGAAGAGAAGGAAGGAGATAAGAGCACTTTCTGCAGCGGTAAGGTACAGATCACGAATTGAAAAACATTTGCAATATTTTTTCAGTCCAAAGAAGTCTTTAAACTTTTGTCGCAGGCCAAGTTCGATGAAGAAATATGCGAAGAACATAGTTTAAAATCACTAGATAGAACTGGCCACAACTGCCATTCGGCCTCTTCAACATGCATATTAAGAAGGCGCGATTCGCAAAAAGTAAAAAAGCTGGAATAACCTGAATTGACGCTCGATTGAGGTTCCAGCTCGAGGAAACAACAGGTCTCCACAAAGGACTCCGAATTCCACAGCAATTCTGGATGAACGCAACTGATTGCGCCCCGACCGCACAACGGTCGACTCTTTTATTCCACAATTCTAGACGGGGGACGGTGGCTTGACAAATCATCGCCATCCCTCCTCTTCGCACACCCACGCTGCAGACTCAGGCACTTTGACCGCGTATGAGCAATTTCGGCTTCCCGTGGAAGAACAGCTGGACTCCTCGTTTTTTATGGCAGTTGAAAGCAGTGCATTGGACACAGGACAGGCTTTTCTGCAGCTAAAGGATGACTGAATAAAACTTCTTGACACGGATTGTAAGGTCACAGACACTGGATTCGAATTCGAGTGCACATTGTACTAGTTAGATAAGCTCGAAGCTTACATGGCCGATGCAGTTCGCGTGGCACATCCACATTATTCTGCTGTACTGCGACACATGCTTTCAGCCTTCGCGCTTGATACCTTTTCCGTTCACTCTGCCTCCATTGTCAAGCACATTGGAAGAACATATTGAACTTATTACAACGATGGGACGACCCAATCCAGCTCTTATGTAATTATCTCTTCTAAGCTGTTCGTACAAGATTGTACATGAAGTAATTACAAAATAAGCTTCTAAATTTTAACACATTCGAATGTTCGGAATTTTATCAACGCCAATTTTGGACATCACGTTTTACTTGTTCTCTAAATTTTTTCATTTATTCATCTAAAGTGTGGAGCTAATTTACATAAAAATTTACTGTTTCAATGATGCATAGATGAACATCCCACGGTTCTTCATAATATTTTCATGAATTGTAATAAAATGGAAAAACCAAAGCATTGCAAGTATGAATTCTCAAATCCAAAGGGTAACAAATTACATTTATTCGAGTAAAATGTTCATGTTTAAAGACGAAGGTTCGAGAGTTCATTAATGCTGCACACAAATCTCATGTCGCTAAAATCTAAAATTGGAAGAAATAGTTAGAAATAAGAAAAATATTAATAGAAGGAAGGCTGAGATGTCTTTTGAGTCTAACCATATTCGATTGCGGTGAAGTTCGGAAACTGAACGTTGTGACCGAGATTACGAAAAGATCTCAAGAGCTGGCTTCTACACCATATATCAAACATTCGTATTACAACCTTGTCACGTGAAGTCTGCTTATGTTGTGACCGTTCTTCGAGCAAGAAGCAAGTTGTGTCCAACAATATCTTAGTGACTACTGCTTACCATCACATTTGGCAATGATGCCATCCACATCTACGAAATACTCATTAAGTCCGTAGAAGTGGAGAAGTGATGCTCTTCCATCGTACCCCTTTTAAAGTGGGATGGAGATGCCCAAGCTCAGTTCTCCACGATCTATATTCACCAGGCATCTTCATTTATCATACCATGCGATGGATTTTATGATACGGATACTCAAATACACATCATTCTTGAATCCCACCTAATGCTTGGCAATTGCAATACATACCATCCGATAGATGCAAACCACAAATGGAATTTTTAGATCCACAAACTCAACCACGTACCACATACCACATCAGCTGACATCTGCTGTGCAGGACAAGAATGTGCAAACGTTGCACACTGTGCCGCTTTGTAGTGAACGGTAGTCAGGCCCCCGGCTCTCACGAGGCCGGTCTGATGAACATACACTTGACTGAGGGTTGATTTATAATAGACTCATACGACTTATAGCCTGTAAGTTATAGGGCATTTTCTTGCCGTCCAAACTATGTTTGAATCCTTTCCCAGCTATGATGCAGATCACGGTTCATTCACATCCACTAGCCATTTGATGCAGAACAGTTTAGAGCTGTTTGTGTCTTGCGAATGGAAATGAGGAAGTATAATTCTTCCAAGAAAAGTCGATCTTCAACGCTTAGGCTTTAATTGTACTTAAATTTAAAGTTAAATAAAGCCAGATTGAAATGTGACAAGAGTGTTAAGCTTGGTGATCAAGTCGGAGTGACTACTTCGACGTAAACGAGCCCGCCCTCATTTCACAACCTCCAAAATTTCCTGCATTGCCAAATCGAGGACGTTACCTTTCAGAGTTTGCATCTGATCCGGCCTTGGCTTCTACGCTGAAGTTTTAGTGAAGCAAGGTCTTCATCCTTCCTTTCTAGTAACAAATTAAACAACAAAAAGTACGGAAGTAATAATTATGTGGAAGTATTAAGTACAGATGTGAAGTGAGTGGAAGTATTATGTAGAGTAACTTTGATCTAAGTTAACCCGGGTTATAAGTTAGATCAAAGTTACTCGACGTTCTAGATTCGATGTAGATGTGAGACCCCGGCGCTTGGTCCGTAGCATGCTGTGGAATCGAGAATTGGCGGGAGTAATTGAATCGATTCGTCTCCGGGGGACCTCCGATCCGATCACATGGCTTCGTGCTTCAATCGGTCGAGTCTTGTCTGCGAATCTTGCCGCTGGAGTCGAACACCGAATGAGCGTCGGTCTCCAACTTCGCAAGCACACGGGCTTCGCGTCGAGCTGCTCTTCACGACCGGGCTGTTGCGCTTCGGTATGTCCTTGCCACGAATCGTCCGCGATTGGGATTTGGCTTGAAACGAAACCTGAAGGACGAAACTTGCACTCGACATGGGCGCAAGTTTTCCCGTCGGGTGCGACCTTTGGCTTCTTGGATTCCCGGGAATCAGCTCGTGAAGTTCTACGAGACGCCATTTTGGCCATTTCGTTCGGTACGATAGTCGAGAGGACGGCAGTGGAAGGTCAATATGGCGACGGAGACAGAGTTTTGTGCGGATGACAGTCTACGAGACCACATTCTCGTCGCGGTGGCAAAGTCTGTGGAATCGGAAGCGCAGGAGCTGCACGTGACCGTGTCTCCTCGAGCCATGACGGCGATGGGTGACCTCGTGCTCAAGTATTTGGAGCAGATGGCTCGGGATTTGGAGACGTTCGCGCAACATGCAGGGCGCAAATCTGTGAACATGGACGACGTGCTTCTCACGGTTCGTCGGAACCCAAGTATTGCTGCAAATTTGACATCTGTGCTGCAGGAGCTTGCCACTACTTCCAAAAAAAATCAGGCGGACAAACTAAAGAAGAAGCAGGATGTCGAAGAGGCTCCCCTCGAGAAGCCGAAGAGGAGAAAAAAAGACCCTGATGATGTGCAGCCCGGGAACGTGAAGCTGAAGAAGAAGCAGGATGACGTGCAGGTTGGGAAACTGAGGAAGGGGCTAGAGTTTGACGAGGGCGAGGAACTGCGAAAGAAATTCATGACTGGTAGTAGACCATGAGAATGTCTGCCACATCGCTGAGTAGCTCGAAACGAGCCAATCATCGCTAGCCACCAAACGGGAAGACAATGTAGACGTGAAGCTTCTCTACATTCTCTTACGGAGCGTAACGATTCTGCGTCACATCTTGCACCAGGTACTTTCAACAACTTGACAAGTCGGGTCTGCTGTCTGCCGTCTTGGGCAAAGCTATACCCGAAGCAATTTCAGAATTACACTCAAACCATATCTTCCAGTTCGAGCGTGTTTAGTCGTGTTGTGTTTCCGCAGTCGTGCAGTCGGAAGACGTAACTTTTTGTGCAGAACAGAACAGAGTAGGTAGATAAGCTTCTGTACATTATATCTCTAAATATCCGCAGTGCCTGTGCGAGACTGCGCAAAGTCGTAGGTTTTCAAACTTACTGTGCACAATCCCTTTTTTAGTGGTGGATTCGTGTCGCAATCTCGATCCTCAACTTCCGAGCTGAACTTACAATAATGTGAGGCATGACTGAGGAAGTGGTGACTTACTGGGCTAATCGCTGGATACACTCGGTTCAACTGTTGAGCTCCTTATGGGCAAATTGTTCCCGATAGAATCTACTTGAGGAGAGGGGTACGGTTTAGCTTATGAGGAAGGCTGCCTCGAACAGCTTTGGTACAATGCATAATAGAGATTCTGTTACTCTGGATTCTGGGGCGGAGAGATATGTCATGCATGTTCAGGATGTATGATTTGGAAGATACAGCCATTGGGAAACCTTGGACAATTGTCTTGCAGCTAGCCTTCTTGTGTACGAGGGCGATGCCTTTTCTTTCCCGTCGGAAGGCCCTCAAACCTCGCTTCAAGCTGTGCCCTACATTTCTTGTGCAACAGACCGAGTCTCGATTTCACTTTGAATTGGTACTGGACTTTCGGAAGGTGAGGATTGGAACTTGTTTTAATTACTGAATTTGGTAAACATCAGGCTTCACCGAGATTGATGGGGGCAGTAGGAAGCTGCAGGGCTCGTAATTTATAGAGAAAGGTCAGTAATCTCCACCGGGAACTAGTTTGGAAGACTCGGGTGTGTAAGTGCGTGACTTACAGGTGGGTATCAGATCGGAGCTACACTGAACGGTTGCTGCAAGAGTAGATTTTCAAGTTAAAGAAAATCCTGAAGTAATTTTAGAGTCAGGGATAAACATACTGACAATCGTAGGCATGAGCCAGATCCAATTCAATGTCTTCAAGTAAACTGCTCCTTTGGCTTCAGTCCACTGTCAGAGGATCAACTGGCCTGCATGTAATCTCAATCCAGTAAGCTGTTTGCATCTTCCTTCCGTATTCCAGAGTGATGAATTTCGTACGTCGAAGGCAGGGACACAAAATCAAATCGTGGAATAAGAAGGGGATCCCATTCCAGATTTCCATCGATCAAAACTGCTGTGTGTGAGAGATGCTTGACACACGGATCAATGCGGGAAGTTATGATGGCCTTGAGGCAGGAGCAAGATTTGTATCAGTGTCATTGTGGCCACCCTTACTGATGTTAGTGTTGAAGCTAGAATTGTTGGACGGACGGTGAAGCAGGTCTTGGCACGGTTCCTGATCTGAGTCTAAGGTGGAGTTGCCGATGGTGGAGTGAGAACAGTGAGGGGGAGAGGATCGAAGCGAGGGCTGCAAGGCGGCCATGAAGAGAGCGCCTCCGGCGGCAGTGACAGCTCCGTTGCCATTCGCGGAGGAGTTGTTGTTGCCGCTGTTGTTGGTGTTGTTGTTGGTGTTGGAAACGGCGGAGTTGTTATGAGTGGACGCCGCAGCAGCGATGGCGAAGGTTTCTCGGAGTCGGGCGATCTCCGAGGTGGCGAGCGACAGCTGAGCTTGCAGATGCGCCACCTGCTGCTGCAGCACGGAGATGGCGCCCACGCACCCGTACACGGGATCTTGCACTCGCGCATCGGCCTCGTACGCCAGCGAGTTGACGCAGTCCTCGCGGTGCGGCGGAGGCAGCTCGTGCAGCATCTTGGTCACATTGGCCACCCCGAACACCTTGTGCACGTGAGCGAACTTCTGAGGCTGATCAGGCGGAAAGTATGGCGCAAACAGACACTGCGCTGTGCACTTCCTCCGAAGCACCCGGCACGCCGCGCACGCGGCCGTCCCCGGCGCCGACGCCATCGCCACTCGCAACCGTCTGTAGGGATGCATGGATCCCACTCGGCTCCCTCCCGATCCCCCTCGCCCTCAATCTTCTCGCTCCTGCCTGGCTCGAAACTGTCACCCTCGCGCCCTCCTCTTCCCTCGCCTCATGACCTCCGCAGGTGCTCTTCTTCGACGAGGACGACGAGGGCGTCGGTTGACTTTGCGCAGATCTCTCTCTGTCAGCTCGCGGGGCTAGAGAGGGCGGGATGGCCCCGCGGAGAGCGAGGGGGAGGCATCAGGAGATTTCGGGTTCTTTTCTATCGACGAGATCTCTCCACGGCTGGCAGCGGCGGAGAGCAATTCCATGCTTTGGCGGAGCAAGAGCAAGAGCGGGCGAGGGCGAGGGCGAGGGCGAATGATGGGGACCTGCTCGCGCCGGGGCGAGAATCAGAATCGCAGAGCGCGAGCGCAGGGCCCAGCCGAGCGACTGGGAACGTCCGGGATCACGAGGCTCTACGGCATCGTTGTGCACCTGATCCATCGCGTCGTCCACAAGAGATGGGCCGATCGCCCGGTGTCATCGTCTGTGAGCTTTAAGGCATCCATTCCGGCCCTCTTGAACTCCGGACACTCCTGCCCCTCTGCTCGCCCCGCCTCCTCCCACTCGAATCTCTTTCTCGGCCCCGCCCGCGAGCGAGCGAGCCTCGGCACCTCCACCGGCGGTTATAACCGCCGCCGGCCCCCTTCCCGCGGCTGCGGCATCCGCAGCGCAGAGTCAACAGCTCTCGCTTCGCTCGCTCTGCCCCCCCCAATCGCACCAGCTCTCGGTGCCCATGGCCTCAGTTCAGTCAGCCCCGGGGGAAGGACATACCGCTTGGTCCATGCCTCACTCATAGCTCCCACAGCCCCTGCCGTCTGCTTGCGTCCCTTCCCATTCGAGCCTCTGGCTCTCGAACGGTTAATTCGGTGCGCCTCGCAGTCTCGAGTCGCGGGCTTCAGATGAGTCCCGTGAACCTCCCTCTCCCTGGATCGGACAGTAATTGCTCTCCCTTGGGCCCCTGGGTCTTCGTCGAGATCCTTCGGCGCTAACCGTGGCACATGTGTAATTACAGTAATAGAATGTAATGGCATTCAGGAAAGAGAGGCTCTTTGGGGCACGTAGTCTTCAGCTCCCGTCCCTGCTTCCTTCCATCACTGGGTCCTGAATCTCATCGGTGGGCATGTTCTGCTATGGATGGAATGTAGCTTGGATCCTCTGTTGCGAGTGCGGAGTCAAGGAGCTCTATTACAGAGGCCCGATAGCTAGAAGCCAGCGGCTTGATTTGTTCCTCGATGACCTTCGATATTTCCTCCGTAGGACTTGCCATTGGGGGATATGGAGTTTTTCACGGTGAGATCTGTCGCTGTCGCTGTCGCATGGAGAGTGTCTTAGTTTGCTTTGCATCGCAGTGGGGTTCAGGGTTTAGTGTATTTGTAGCTGTTGCTGGACCCACTGACTCCACTCGATTTCACCATCGCACGCCGTACGCTACCTCGGCTGCCTGCCTCCTTGAATCCAAGAAACTTATTCATTTCGCTGTCAAGTTTCTGAAAAATTCAAGTTCTGGCATTGTTTCCGTCGTTCTCCTCAACTCATTGGTTGTGTATTATCCAGGTAACGTTATTGTTTTCTCATTTTTTAGCTATGCAAAATTACGAATATGCACGATATCACGCTCGGCAAACAGTAACTACATGTTTGATTATATGAATACATGAAAAAATTGGTTTCAGTCTGTTTTACACAACCATCCTCGATTCCATGTCAACAAACAATTACTTCAGGACTTTTCAGTTCATGTAATACGAGGATCATTATAAGTTGTTGAGGTGGTTGTTAAAAGGTTAACAAATGATATTCCTAAAGCGAATGTTTATATAAAAATGGATATATGTTGTGTTTTAATTATCTACTTATCATTTGTTAATACAAAAATGACCCAATCAAAATATCAAAAAATAAAAATAGAGCTGTTGATTAAGTTTATGAGATTCGAATTTGATTGAAACATAATGAACTCATTGAACAATCAACCAATGTTATAGGAATTCAACATATCTGCCCTTTGCAAGAGTACATATTAAAATTTTATTTAGAGAGAAATAAAAGATTTATATAGCATTTTGCAATTGATGTGTGATTACACATGAACCTAGAATGAAAAAATAAATGTCAATAATATGTTCAATATCACAGATAACATAACTTCAATTACATAAAAAAAATTGAAACGAATCATCACATTATGAAATAGAATTATATTACAATAAATTGAAATTTACTCCAGATTTTAAGACAAGAGAAGCGTACATACTAGAACAAGTATGAATTGTTTCTTATTAAAGACAAGTAATTTTCTTTGTTCAGAAGATTGAGTTTAAGTAAATAATGGTAAAATTTCAAAACTTGGTGTTGGAATTATTTATAATTTATTTCAAAAAGTAAATACTTTTCATATCAAAAATGTTAAACTTGTTCAAAGCATGTTCTTATTCTAATAATAAGTAATTGAAATTTGAAAACTCTGGTCTTAGAATTGATTTTCTATTATGATATATCTTATATGCTATATATTTTTTACTATATATTTTTAAATATATCATATAATTGAATTTATATATATTTTTAAAGTTGTGTTTGATCTTACTCAGATAATTTCTTATTTTATGTTCATTAAAATAAAATTGTAATTATTCATATTCAAATTTTAATGTGGTTGGTTTTTAATATGCCCAAAAAAATTTTAAACTCCATATTATACTATTAAAATTTATTCAGATTTTGATCAATTATGTTAGTTTGACCATTAATTTGTTATTCAGTTTGTAATTATATTAAAGAATTTGTTGCTTTTTTTTAATTACAAAATAAAAGATGTTAAATCTCATAGTGTTGTATATATGTAAATATCGATTCATTGGAAACTCGTTACATATTTTATGTGTGAAAGAAATAAAATTATTATAGATAGTGAAATTTTGCATTACAAACTAATAAATACCACAATTTTTATTATGATTGAGTTACATTTGTCAAAATCAAAGATATTATTTTTATATCAACGCAAACATGTAATCTAGTATAAATTAATTAGAATGCTATTATATAGTTTTTTAAATTGTTGATTCACCTACATTCTGTCAAGATTTCAAATTTGTATAAATATAGTAAAAATTGAACTTAAGATAGTCAATTGTGTAGAAAGCTTGATTATTGTCATAGTATTCATTCATGGTTCATTTTGTAGTTATGTTAGGTTTTACAATAAGAACATTACATTCAATAATTTAGAATAGATTGAAAAATAAGTATTGAAAATTACATCACATTTAAAAATATGTTTTCTTTATTTTTTCCAAAAAAAATAATTTGGAAATTTTTTTACGAAATTAACTTTTTTTTAATTAAATAGAAGTAAATCATATGCTTATGTTTCTATTTATCAAAACTAAAGATATGAATTCCAATTAATTTTAAAAATGATATTCACAATATTAATGTTGAGAAAGTATATTAGATGTTACCTTCAAGACGAAATCGGTGAAAAAATAAGTAAGCTCAAACATTTCATATTATATGTTGAAATTTGAATCATATAAGTAATGATTCACTATACTATTAATTGTACATATATTATAAATTTTATTATGGAATTAACTATAATTTTTTATGATAAAACTATTCTACTAATCTTGTTTCATCATTTGGAAAGTGAGTTATTTGTATCTCATAAGATGAGAGTATATATATATATATATATATATATATATATAAATTCATATATATTAGCTAAATGTGTGTGTGTTTGATTTGTAGATTGTTATTATGCTGGGTTCCAAAAAAAATATGGTACATGTACAGATCAGAAGTAAAGTAAACAAGTTGTAATTTGTATGTTCCATTTGCACCTTGCAATAATTCATAATAATATTCGGCAACATGAGATGTTTGCTCAAGTGTATGCATCATGTAGAGTGATGTGTCGGTTGTTGTTAATGCACTCCTTGAATGGATAGTATGCAGAATGGGCAATGTCATATAACCATATGTCCGAATCGGATGTAAAGTTCAGATTGCAATGTGAGAATGTACGCCCGGGTGGATCCAAGAAATGTTTTTTCACCAATAAGATTTTGTAGTGTTGGTGGCTAATGTGTGAGTTTGAATTTCAGTAAAATTAGTTGTAAGATAATTATGACTGATTATAATATATCCCTCCTATACTCTCGTTGCACATAGGCTGTAAAGACGACAGAAGGCGAGGACAAAAAAATATCTCCTGCTCTAATCCAGCAGGAATATAGTGTACAAGACATTGATGTGATTTTCTTCCTGAATAAAACATTTCTTTTCATTCAACCTGTGTTTCAGAACCGAATCCATGTAAGCGGAGTGTATTCTGATTCCCAAAGTCAGGCCACTGCTCTGTAAAGCGTGACGAGGCATGAAGTCGCTTACGGCTGCTAACCACATCCAAATTCGCCCATACAAATATTCAGAAATTGGTTGACACGAATTTTTTCTCCAGTTGCGCACACAGGAACCAAGAGTAAGATGCCAAGAACAATCTCTTTCCATATATTCTGTAGCACACGAACAGTTTTACTGCTGTACAAATGGTCGCATTGCTGTCAGGCCTCCCTAGCTACAAAATGATCACTTTCCCAATCTGGTACTCTAAACCTGTTGATCTGGATTTCTCTGATAACAATCACATACCGAGCAATCAAATTAACTGAAAGCTATGCCTAATCTGACTGTCATTCCTTTCCTACTCTTCAATCTGTACAGTGTCGTTTACATGAGTTTTCAGTCCAAAGTTTCAAGGGCCCACATCCATGTTGGTCGCAATCGGTGGAACTGCTAACTTAGCCAAGTCAGGAATCCAGAAGGACAAAATCTGTGAAGCGCTTGCGAACATAAATCTCCGCGGAGCCCACTTGACGACGGCTGGAACACCGTTGTTATTACCCCAGCAACTTACCTGCCATAGTCTCAATATGTTTACAACCATTAGAAATAAACTTGAAGATTTAATAGTATATCGCTCATAAAATTTTAGGGTAATGATTGATTCGACATTCAGACGACGGAGTGTCCAGCGGCTTCTCTGTACAGTTTTCAAAACTCAATCGACAGCTGAAAAAAATTGACTGATACAGATTAAATCTCACCTGCATGCCACTAACTGTGCTCCAAGCGTACAGGTTACCATCTCCGGATCCTGTTTCAAATTGATAAATATTGGGTAAATAAACGTAAGGTTCCGAAGTCTATTATAAAAAATTCTTAGAAACCAATAGAAAATTCAAACAAGACCTTCCTAACGAGCACTAATTTTAAAAGGTTGAAAGCATAACATGAACTATGGCTGACACAGTACTTGGGCTGATTTGCTTGCAAGCTTATACACAAGACAATTTACATGGATGTCAAGCCAAATAGAAGTTGAATCATCTTAAATCGTGAATCCATATTACTCATAACTTTCTATACACAAAACAAGCTTCTAGAATTTTCAGTCATTACCTGAAAGCACAAACTGGCCATCAGGGCTGAAGGACGCTTCCAAGGCATGTCCATCAGGATTCGGGTCCCGCCTGAAGCAATGAAGCTGCAAACATCTGGATCTTTAATAAAAACATCGAGAAAGTTTCAAAAGATTTAACGCTAATCGTCCTTTGAAAACTCAAAAAATCTCCAGTCTTTATACAACATCCTTATTGTAGAGGACTGAAGTGGCCATGTGAGTAACATGCTTTCTTCTCATCTGCTAAACGGAGAAGCTCTTTCAAAGACCACCTGAAAAGTGGACTAAAAGGGAACAAGGCAAATTCCATAGCACCTCTTACCTGATTGCCACTGTAAGCATCCAGCACATATATCCTATTGCTGGTAGTGGATAGAAGCATTACTTTGCCGTCATTACTAAACTTCATTCCTGAAACCTCGGCAGTGTCACCTCCAACTAAGAATGTGTCAAATGGACCCTGCAAGCGACAAGATATAAATACACCACATGATAAAATCTGCAAAGCAGTAATAATGGAAGAGCCTGGCATCTATCACTGAAGTGGAAACCCTGCTTTACAGCTAGAAACGATGTTGGCAACGTATATAGCACCTTATCAAAGGAGCGAACATCAAACAGCTTGACGGCACCGCCCTCCATTGCGACGGCAAACACGAGACCTTGCTGATCATATGCAACCGAGGGTCTGCCACGCACTCGGAGAAGACCCTAACAACCAGTCAAAATTCAGTTATGAAAAAATAAAAAACACTAATTTATATAGTACCTCTTGATGCAAGACACAGTGAGTAGTACACTAGCAAGACATTCGACTCTGGGGATTTTCGAACAAAAAGATCAACAGTAAGTGTTGTCTGCAGCAGCTGCTTTAATCTTCTTTAAAGCATGAAATGAAGATCAAGGTCCTACGAAACTACACCTGTGCTAACTTGAAATGATCTGTGATCTTGTAATCCATTTAAAGTCTAACAGGTTCCCCAATTTTATCTTGTTTGCGAATTTTTCTTCAACTGCCAAATCAAACATGTGAATGATCTGCAATATTGGACGTGCAATACCTGACAAACATTTGTTCTCAGGTCCCAAAGTCGAACCGTGTGGTCCAGAGATCCTGACATAAAACTATCATTCTTCGGAGACATACACAGGGACACAACCCTGCAAGCAAAACAGTGATATGTCAAAAGATTGTGGAAAGTACAAAAAACTTCAGCGACTTCAGTCTGATTTTGAAACAACAAGAACCACATGCAAAATGCAGAATGGCTCTAACCTGTCACGGTGACCCTTGAAGTAACGCAGGTACCGGTTGTCGTATAAAGAGAGGTAACGAAGGGACTCTGGGCCAACCGACAAAGATGATATAAATCAGACAAAAGTGATAACAATAACAGTCATACCAAAGAATTATTGAGAATAATATACAGTGTTTTGAGAATAGAGTTTGTAACACAGAGCTAAAATCCTTCGAGTGCAAATGATAGAGATAGGATATTGACAATACTGGCATTTTAAATCAACTAGTTGCAAAACAGAAAATTGTCGTACGTTCTCACCATCCCATCCATTCTTCGACGAATACACCACCGAACTAGGGTGATGTGTAAAGCAAATCTGGTCCACGCCATATTTCTTACTGTGTATGGTTTTCACAAGCCTGCGGAAGCAAAAAAAACCTTAAAACATATCACGCATAGACGACGCCACACGAGAACCTATTTGCACGATAGCAGAAAAAATTTCTTTCAATCCCACTTCGGCCTTGACAGCTGGAAGTGCACAAAACAGACAAAACGAACAGATAAGAGAACTTACAGGGCATTCGCCGTGTCATATAGGCGTATGGACTCGTCGTCACTGGCTGTGACCAAGAGGTCATCCGAACGGTGAAAATCGAGCGAATTGACTTTGGCATTCTGAACGCGCAGTAATGGAATTCCAAAGTTAGCAAAAACCCAATGCGATCGATCTTCACAGAAAGAGAAAGAAAAAAGAAGCCACGACAAACCAAACCTAAAACTTCGAGGAACAGAAATCAATAAATCGCAAAAATGTCCAAGCTCACGTAGTCTTTGAAGACGGCCCCTATGGCCATACTCCCCAGCATGCTCTCATTCAAATCCATTTCGAACTTCTTCTTCGGCGTATCTACATCCTTGGGCGCAAACCCGAACTCCGAGTCGCCCCCGGCAGAAGATGACTCCGTCTCCTAAAACGGAAGACCAATCCAATTCGCGTGCCTCGCATCAATTAGCGATGAAATTTGGAGATCGAGACCCACCTGGGCGCGAACCTCACGCCTTCGAAGAGGCTCAGACGCGACAGACGACAGAGAGAGACAGAGTTGAGCCCCGGAATCCGAGCGCCAACCCTAAAGCGTGGGACAAGCATCAGGAATATTCAACCACACAAGAGCAGCGCCAACAACAAACAGAGAAGCTCACCATGTCAATCGATCCGCGCAGTCATCGCGTGCGGGCGGGCGTCGTACTGTGGGGGCTTTTTAGGCCCGCCCTCTACTGCCCGTCGCTGCTCCAGACATCCTCGGCGCTCGCTTCCTCCTTCCCCAGCTACTTGCCCGGCTACTCCGCCGCTCGCGGGCTCGCGGGCGGGCAGCGGCCGTCACAGAACGATGACCGGCCGAGGACAACGACAATGTATTTTCCCGAGCATGGATCGCTTGGTCTTAAGTACTTCACTGTGACGCTGTGATTACTGATAGACAATAATAAATATTATATATCGGCCGCGTTGCTGTACTCCCCCAACAAGTTCTTTCGTTGGGGTGAAATGCAATAGAGGATATGGGCTCTCGAAGATTGCATTCTGTCATGCCAAAAGAGTCAAAGAGGGCATATGGATGTTAAAATTGATGCGAATGCCTATCGATCTGAACAATCGAAAATATCAACGTGAGACCAGGGGCTAGCCCGAAACTTAGAGATGAAGTTGGCATTCCATTGTTCTTTATGATGCTAGCAAGATGTACTGTCCAAGGGTCCTTTATTTTATTGGGTGTCATCAATAGTACCGTGACTTGTTGTCACATCAGTTACCCTAAAGAATCATATATATTTATTTTTCCATTCATTCATTTATTCATTTGCCTCAAAGAATCAGACATCTTAGAATTTTTAGAACTTCCTCTTTTTAGTACACAGTAGAAATAGATTCCATTTGATATTTTTTCCTCTTAAAACTCATTGACTAACAAAGAATTATCGACTGTAGGAACGAACTTGTAGACCCACGAAATTTTGAACCCAACACTAACACAACTCCGGGCGGCTAGCCAACCAACCATCATGCAATTAACCTCCTCATCGTAAAAATTCCGATAATGTCATCCTAACTGCGAAACACAAGTGGGGCCACATGGACAAAAATCGGTGGGAAGACCCCATCAAGCCTGCCAAGGAAGTAACAGTTACGGAATCATTTCACCTTGAAATTTATAAAGAAAATTTATGAGTTTATTGGCCTGCGTTAAATTAACTCAGGTTCTAGTCTTTTATACAGATCCACAGTTGTCCCACTCACTGCATTTCACCCAGACTCAGACAATCTACTTGTACATGGTACGGGATTTATGCAGTAGGAAACCTTCACTGTTAGCGAATGTAATGGAATGGAATTAATATTTATTACTTTAATATTATCCACCGTCTTACATACGGAGGGAATTTGGGAAAAACTATAATTTGGGCCATCTCATCCTTTTTGTTTTCGAAAAAGGATTCGATGCCGAATCCTTTTTCGACCAAGCCGGAAATCATAAGTCGGCCAACGCATCCCAAATCGTCGCAGCGTCCCGATGGAGTTCCGATGGCACATTCGACTGCGACCTGCGCCAGAGATTTCGGGACCGGCCATGGCGTTCGAAAGGAGGCGGATTTCGGACCCTCGAAATCCGTGCGCCCGCGGGAAGCGACCGCGGCGTCCTTGAATCGGCGGGCGCGCCGGAGTGAGGGAAGGCGCGACGGACGAGTCCTTCCTTGCCAGATTCCCAGATTCCCCGAGTCCCAACGACCGGAACTCGTCCCTCGCACAGAAGCGCAGGGAACCCTTCTCTCGCGACGAGCGACGGCCTCGACGTTCGAGCGTTCTTGCCTTGCCTGCTAATTCCGTCGAGCTCGACATCCGTGGTCGTGTCGAAGTCCGGAATCGCGAGCTGGCGCAGGTCTTGTTCGCCATCTCGCTCCGTTGCTCGATGAGTTTCGTGGCGTGCTCGATTAGGCTTCTCCCGAGATGAAGTTCGGTTGTTTGTGTTGATGTCGCCACCACTCCTTTGTCATGCTGGGCTGCACACCATCGAAGATCCCCTGAACATGCGGTGACGACGCTGCGGAGAAGCGGATTGCGGAGTGCGGAGAACCTCGGAGCTCCTCGGGGAGGAAAATCTTGCGAGCTGAGCTTCTCGGTGTGCCGAGGTTGAATCGTTTGGTATGCTGTATGGCCGTTGCCTGTGATGCTCGGGCGCATACACGGAAGCAGGCACGACGTTGTACCCGGTGTTTATCGAAGAGAACGCAGGTAAGGAGTTCAAATTTCGCCCATCGTGAGTGGTCGGTGCAGCTGCGGGGATGTAGGATTGTCAAGACGTGACTCTGGCATCCTGGACCACACAGAGGGTACCAGAGTCATCCGAGTGCCTTTTCGTCAACAGACTAGCGTGGACACTGAGTTATCGGGAGCAGAATTCGTTCCAAATTTATTTTTCGTTCACGGGGCATCGTCATTTCGACGCTTACTTCACACTTCTAAGCATGACTCTGCCGAGTGAAAATCCGAGTCCGAAACCCGACTGCTCAAAGTGTCCATCTCTCGTATCCTCTTTCGTTGATACATTCGTGGATTTTGTCGTGGGACGTCAAATCCTGGGTCCTAACCCGAGTGCGAGCGCACCTGCGGCCTCGGAGAAGACTGGAACAACGTCACCAATCGTAACGAGGGTTCCAGCTGCAGAGCGTCTCATTGCGGTCGGAGACATTCATGGAGATCTACAGAAGGCGAAGGAAGCTCTGCAGATTGCCAAGGTCATGGACGAGAATGAGAAGTGGATTGGCGGAAAGACTGTGGTCGTTCAGGTCGGTGACGTGCTTGACAGAGGGTCAGATGAGATTAAAGTTTTCTATCTACTCGAAAAGCTGAAAGGAGAGGCTCGTAAGCAGGGTGGTGATGTCCACATCATGAACGGAAACCATGAAATTATGAACGTCGAAGGCGACTTTCGATTTGTAGATCGTGGAGGATTCGCAGAGTTTGGCGAATGGGCAAAGTGGTTCAAGTTGGGTAACGCCATAAAGGAGCAGTGTAGTGGTCTGGAGAAGCCCCGCGATTTTTTTGCAGACATTCCAGCTCATTATCCTGAAAATCAAAAGGCGAGGATGGCAGCCCTCAGACCCGGAGGACCAATTTCGTCCAGGTTTCTCGCAGCTCATCCTACTGTACTTGTTGTTGGCCAGAGTGTTTTTGTTCATGGTGGACTCCTCCCAAGTCATAGTAATCACGGCCTTGAGAAGATAAACGAGGAAGTTAGGCAATGGATACTTGGAGAAAAGCAGTGGTATGGACCAGATTTTTTACATGGACGTGACGCCCTAGTGTGGCTCCGCAAGTTTTCAAACGAGCGGGAGAACCAGTGTGATTGTGCGCTCTTGGAAGAGTCTTTGAACGCACTCCCAGGTTCCAAACGCATGGTTGTGGGTCACACTATTCAGGAATCCGTGGGGATAAATGCAGTGTGTGGCAATAAAGTCGTGAGAGTTGATGTTGGCATGTCGAAAGGTTGTGGAGATTATGCCCCCGAGGTGTTGGAGATTAGAGACGATAAAGAGTTGACAGTACTTTCGAGGAGTGGCGCACTTAAATTGATGGATGATGAGCAGTTGGCGGCAGCTTTGCGCAAGTACAGAGGCAGATCCGGCCTTGCTTCATTGCTTCTAGCGCCTGAACCAAAAGTGAAGACCAAACTGCCAGCGAAGATGCAAACTGCATAGGCTGGGAGTTAGCAGCAAGAGATCTTAACACGGTGCACGCTGAAACTGTAAGACGCATCGCATACACAATTTGTGGATACTTCTGGCAGGAACATGGAGCCGAACTCTCAACTGAAGCCTTCATTATATGGCGGCAAGTTGTGTTACATGTTAGTTGGAGCAGTTATTTTTTAGTCTTTGATTTTTCATCAATGATAGATTTTCATTTGTACGAATGTTTCGAAGTTTACTAGTATTTTGAGCAGTTACACAAAGGAGCTGGTCCGTAAAGAACATCCTAACGATGAGCAGTTTGGGGCCAATGTCAAGAGGAGGAACTTAGGTATTTTTTCTTCCTAAGTTTCATACCTCCGAAAGTGTTCCAGGATAGTCTGATTAGTATAGATTTAGAGTCATTTTTGTTTCGTAATTTTACGAATGGATGAGCAGAGGCAGACCATTATTTTGTTAGGCCCTTCTGGGTTCACCTGTAGACTTACCATGAACTGAGGCCGTCTACCTTAGTTATGTTTATCATTGCAATCTTCAGCTTTTCTGTATCGAAATGCTGGGTAATCAGTAGCCCGTTGGCTTAGAATTAACTTACGTTATGGAGACCTGGTTGACCTGAAGTTTTCTTAGAATGTTTACTGATGTGAAAATCTGTTGCATCGATTCACGAGAACAGATACATGTTAGTAACAATTTGTAGGGCCCACATGGACATAAAAAAACTACGGGAACGATTTGTGGCAATCGGAGTCTCGGCTGCACCTGGCAAGTACCTCGTGCATGGATGTGCAGGGATGAAAGTAACTAACAGCTGAGCAAATGCTCAGCTGTTATTTACTTTCTCGTCTTCTTAACATATTACTCTTTATGTAACGTATTCGTTACAAATTAATGGAATGGTATCATCGCACTCTATTGCTGGCAAGTATATCTGATGTCTGATCCTAAACAACTGTCGGTTGTCTGTAGTTATGCCGGCTGACATAAACACAATATTTCCAGACGCTTAAGTTCACAGACCATGTTATGTACACAGTCGTTTTGTGTCTTCACAAAATCATACCTCAAGAGTTAAGAAGATAGAAACTTATAAAATGTACTGTGAAGTGTGAATCTGTCACACTTAAAATTATCAACCTGGTTTAGTTGTCCTAGTTAGGCGCCGAGAAAGAATGAGCCGTCACGACGTTCTTGACTTCAATTCAAGCTGCCGTTTTCCCTATATTTCGAAACCCTCTCCGAAAGAGCGATCTCCTAAAATTGTCGCTGATTCATTCGTAAGCAACAGTTCTGATCTGCGCATAATGTTTCCTAATGTAATCCACGAGGGGTATGGACTTTTGTGGTTTTTCTATCATGGTTGTCATCTTAAACGAATTTGGAAAATGTTGCACATGTGTTCAATGGATGTACATTATATGCATGCACTGGATGCGCAATCAAAAACTGGTGGGCTGATACTTTGTAGGTTCAATTTGAAAACTGAGTCAATACTGGACTTGAGTTTCCGTGGAATGAGAATACAAACGTTAAATACAAGTTCATCTTAGTTAAAGTTTTCTCTAATTTAGATACTCAATTCATGTTACCGCGAACATTCTCCATGGAGAGTAGATTACTTGATGGGACTTCATTGTAACACAAATGAAATATTGGAACCCATGAAATTTCGTTTTACCTGATGTAACCTCATAAACGGTGTGCGGTCGCCCACTTCTCAAACCTGTTCCTGCACATATATGAGGTTGAGAGTTTATAGACTCTAAAAGTTTGTACCTGGTCTTCTAAGAAATCTAGAATCAGATTCCCCGAAAACATCATCATTAATTGTGGAACAAGTGCCAAACAAATTCTCCTCCTGTTCCTGCACATATATGAGGTTGAGAGTTTATAGACTCTAAAAGTTTGTACCTGGTTTTCTAAGAAATCTAGAATCAGATTCCCCCAAAACATCATCATTAATTGTGTAACAAGTGCCAAACAAAATCTCCTCCTGATACATACATTACTTCTCCCTACTTCATACCACTACACAGATCTGCACAAATTCGGAGAGCATTGTAATCAGTTCAACTTACGAAATCGTCTCAGTCCTGCCCAAGGTTGTGGCGGATCGGAAAGCTATTCCGTTTGACGGTGAGACGTTGGTTTGGATTTATGTCCGCGGCGAGAAGTAGCAAAATGGTGCAGCGAAGGTAAAGACGCGGGCAACTTTCGGAAGGAGATAACTCATGCACATAGTTAGGACATGGTGCATATTTCATAGCCATGCGGGAGAATGTCGGAATTACTTGCAACTTCAATTGATACTAGAAGATGGATGATGTGTACTGTAAATGAGTTTCGATAGAGTAAAATGAAACTTGTTGAAAATAATTTGTGTTAAAATGGAATCACATTAATTAATTATCTCTTCCGTGGAAGATATGTATTCACTATATCCTTAAGAAGTGTTGAAAATATATATATCTTACGTGAAATAAGTATTAAATTTTGCACTTATTAATATGTTCTTCGTCAACTTTACTACATGTCTTTGTTGGATGCAAACATCAAAAATTTTCCAAGATGGAACATTAGATAAATTCAAATATTGAAAATTAGTGTTTGGTGTGCTCCCAAGGTAACTTCCACTATATAGAGTTAAACCTCTCAAGAGTGACATCCTCTCATTAGTAACGTAAACTTCCAGAACCATTAGTTTCTAACTTGTAAATCTACTCAATAAGAACGGTACGTCACTATTCCCAATAGTGATATGATATTTTTCAATAGTGACATGATATCTTTCAATAGTGACAATTTCAAGTGTAATTTGGGAGTAAATATTCATACTATGATCACAATACATAGCTATGAGACTTTAAAAAATGTGGCATAAGTTTATTTTAAGTTATAGCTCAACAATTCACTCTTTTTGGGTTTTAGTAAAATGATTCATTACATATACTGCCATCAATTTTTTCACTCAGATTTTTGTGTATTAATATGAATTCAAACATAATTATAATGTCTATGTTAATCGTCGTGAACAATACAAATGTGCAAATGAAGACGAGTTTGAAACCAAACAACACATCTAAAGACTGTCTTAGGATTGATATAATGTAGGATAAGAAATCTATGAGTTTTATGAAAAGATAAGTGACAACTCCCAATAGTGACATCTAACCTCAACATCCATGTATGTAACTATTAGGAGGTAATATTAAAATTATGCACCTCCCAACAATGACATCCAATTTTAACACCAATGTATGTTACTATTAGGAGGTTGTACGCACTTTACTATGGTGAATGACACCTCACAATAGTGACATAAAACCCAAGTACCAATATATGTCACTATAGGGAGGTTTAACTCTATAAGTGGAAGTATAAGTGCTGATCCCACTATAACGTTGAAGTGTCAACTAGAGCTAAAATTTGATAGGGTTATTGACGTCAGGCGGACGCACATGCCTGCGAAATTTGAGACTCAACGAAGCTGGTGTAGAGAAGTTTTCAATTCGGAGCTTTGAGTTTAAGTTTTGGAGCATTGATCTTGCGCGAGTCATATCTTCGCGCTGGAATGTCAATTGAAGCTAAAATTTGATGGGTTTGTCAACGTTAACCGAGCGCACTTGCGTGCAAAATTTGAGCTTTAACGAAGCAAGCGTGAAGAAGTTATCAATTCGGAGTTTTGAGTTTTGGTTTTGGAGCATGAAACTTGTGGGAGCCATATCTTCACACTAGAGTGTCAATTGGAGCAAAATTTGGTAGGATTGTTGACGTCAGTTGACCACACATGCTTGCCAAATTTGAGACTCAACAAAGCCGGTTAGAAGAAGTTATCAATTCGGAGCTTTGAGTTTGTGTCCAACTTTGCAAAGTTGGGTTCATGATAAATTCTAAAAACAAGCTATTCAATCTTGTACAAATAGTTTTGAATGAATAGAAAACGCTTTGCCAAGAATTCAAGGTACAAAGTGTTGACTTGACTGCTGCAAAGAATGAAATCCGGAAGTTGAAGATTTCCAACAAAAGTTTTGAAAAGATTATACTTAAAATCTCTAGATGTGTTGAGTACATCCAAGAGAAGGTTGATTTACAAGCTTTTACAGTTGTTACTCCTGGTTTGCATGAAGTGGTTGAAAGTCTAGAGGTGAAAATGAAGTCTTATGCTGAAGCTACCTAGTCTTTTCATATCTATTTCTGTTGAGAGCAAGAGATTGAAAATGCTAATCAATTTGCTCGTAGAAAAAATGTGACAATTTCTGGTCTACCTGAATCTGAGAAGGAAAAGATGAAGAGTGTTGTCACCAAGTTCTTAGCTTAAACACTTCATGTTTCTAATCCGGATTTGGCTCAAGCTTTTTGTATTGGCAACAAAGAAGTATAACCTCGTGCCATTATTGTTAAGTTTGTGGATCAAACTCAACGTGATATTGCTTTAGCCAACAATGTCATTCTCAAGAAACGGAGGATTCTGTTAGATCCATATCTTACACCTCTTCAAGTGGAAGCAAGAAAGAATGAACTTGCAAAAGTCAAAAAAGCTTAACATGCAAGTTTTGTAGCTTATATACGTGATAGTCAAGCTATTATCATCTAGAGGAGAAGATAATCATCAACCTAGCAATCCAAGAGGTTAAGGTTGTTGATGTGGAACATAAGAGTACTATCTACAACAAAGTATGTGAGTGCACATCCAATTTAGAAGATGACAGACATACTCAACATTGTAGAGACTTAAGAGCATGAGAGCAATGCTATTGGAGAGATACAAGGGTTCACTTTGGTAGGATCTACTTGAAACTAAAGAAATCGAAGAGTATGACGAGGTTTTGGAGACATTGCTACTTTCATCATATATGAACTTCTTCCTATGATACATTTGGAAAGCCAAGATATTGGAAAACAATCATTGGCTTCGTCTTGGATTGATTGGAGGATCTTACAGTTATTTGGCAGTTTGTTACTTTGCTCCATTATCCATGCAAATCTACTCCACAAACACTTGCAATCAAAGTCAACTATTCCATCGGCTCATAGTAGATGTTCTCAAATATCAAGACAAAACTGAAGTTTTTCTTGTTGTAGACTTTAATGACTTCATACATTCTGTTCAATTTACCCAATTTGATAGTTCCTTGTCGTCTTCCTCTTTTGAAGAAAGTAGAGATAGTTTGTGGTCCAGAGTCTCTTCTGATACTTCTACAAATGATTTGACTGAGCATTTTTTGATTTTTGAAGCCACATCTAATCTGAAAGTTCTCAATGTTGTTTCTTTTTTCCCAACTCCCATCCCAATACATGTTTTTCCTCTAACGGTGTTAGCACTATACATTATATTTTGTACTCTGCCACTTATAGTTCATTTATTTCAACGTTTGATATTCGAGAAACTCAATGAGAATCAGATCATACACCTCTTTTATTTTCTTTTTTGTTGTCAAAGTCAATTCTTCTCTCTACATGTTAGTATGTTTCTACTTGCCCCGAGTTTTGTTTAGATGCTAGTAAGAAGCAATTTTACAGTCAACATTTACATAACTTCTTGACGTGTACTACTTGGAGCCTTGATCCACATACATTTAGTTTGCAACTAACCAATTTGTTCAAAAAATTTGCTTCTAAGTTCTTTTTGAGACATAAGAGCAAGAGAGCTAGAGGTCTTCCTTGCAATGGATGGTTTGACTTTGATTGCAAGCAAGCAAGGGCGAGATCAATTGATAAATCTTTTGATCTTCACCATCGGCTTATTATGACAAGACTTTACAAAGACTTGGTGAAGTCTAAGAAACAAGCTTTTTTGAGGTGGAAGCAAGAGTGCTTGACAAAGGATCTGTTGGAGAATCTCAAATCTTTTTGGAAGCGGTTGTCAGTGCGATCTTCCAAACCTACTATTGATTACAAGTCTTTGGTCTCTTTTGTAAAAAAAATTATTTTTTTCCCAATGTTGCATTAATGCCACGTTATGAAGGAAATCCAGGCTGATTTTCTGAAGATGCTCACTCAACTAAGACAATTGTCAAATGGTAAATGTGAGGATTTGGATGATCTTTCCATTGAACTTTTCAAGTGGGGAGGAGATGCTATTGGGCATATACTCATTAACGTGTTAGAGAATGATATTATTTATGGGTTTACTTCAACTTTGTCTTTACGGAAGATTGTTACTATTTACAAAGCTGGGAGCAAAGCCTTGATGCCAAGCTATTTGGCAAACTGGTGGAGTCAAAGTTGAGCATATGGGCTGAATCTTGTCAGAAGAGAGCGCGGTTCCAAGCTGGTTTTTGTTCTACATTCAACACTATAGACCATATTTTGATTTTGCGTGTTTTATGGAAGAATTCCAAGAATAATGGAAAAGCTTTGTTTTGTGTCTTCATTGATTTTAAGAAAGCTTTTGACACAGTAACTTGTGAGCTTTTATGACAAAGATTGCAAACCATCGAAGAATCATCAAATTTCTTAGCAGCGGTGGCCACATTATACCACTCTGTTCGGGCCAAGTCCAACACTTTTCAACCCGAAGAGATTTTGACTACCATTGGAGTCATTGAAGGTTGTACTCTCTCTCTTATTCTTTTTGGAATTTTCATAGATGATATAGAAAGGTGGTTAGAGGATAGTGACAGTGAAAGTGTCAAACTTAGAGGCTTTGTCATCAAAGCTCTTTTGTATGCAGATGATGTCATATTACTAGCACGTGATGCCATTAGTTTACATAAACACCTTGACACTTTGGCTAGCTTTTGTACTCAAAATTAGATGGAGTTCAATTTGAAGAAATCCAAATTCATTATTGTGGGCACCAGATCTAAGCTTTCTTTTTTTTCAGAGTATTAGAATTGAAAGAAGTGAAGAGTTATATATATTTAGTCATTCATTTCTCCTACGATTATCGTTAGGCACTTTGTGTGCAAAAGAGTATAGAAGATGGTTTCAAAGCTCTACATTCATTGCTAAAAAGATGTAGAGTAGTTCATCTAGTGTCTTGGAGTCTAAGAAAATTCTTATTTAGGAGCTTAATGTTTACCGTAATCTTATATGGAACATAAGTGTGGGGTACTGGTTGTAAGAAGACAGGTTGGCAGCCTTTGGAGAGGGTGCAAAAGATATTCTTACAAGAAGAATTGGATGTGATGACCCAAACTTCATATGATATTCTTCTTGCGCAAAACATTTTGTCTATCTCTTGAGGATGAAACTCTCTTTTTAATTATCACATACGTTAAAAGAATGAGATCTCTTGATGATTCTCGACTTACTCTTGAAGCTTTGCGTGCCACACATTCCAAGAGATGGTTTGCAGATGAGATGACTTGGTTTTTGAGGTGGAATGTGACGGAACTCGATTGGGATTTGTAACCTATTGTACTACGCGAGCGTATAAAGGAGTAATTTCTCAGCATTATTTGGAGCAGTTGAGTCACTAAAATGGAGTTTTATCAACTTCATGTGAATCCTATGCTTGTTTATTGTGAGCAAGGATATTTACTTGTGGAGATCTCTACTTCTTTACGTCATATTATTGCTAGATATAAACATTATCTCATAGTTTTGGGATTGAAGAAGTGCGTGGGATGAACATCGATATGAGTGAACGTATTTGTAGGCTATGTGATGGAATAAAAGTTGAGGATTATGAGCATATATTTCTTACTTGTACTAGATATGTAGAGATTAGAGTGGTTCATAAAATTGTTGTTGAGAAATTTTATTCTTTGCTTCAGGTTGAGACTTTTGATTTAGGTTGTTACATTATGGATATTATTAGTTATAGTTCTAATGTTTGGAGCATTAGACCGCGGGTTGTTTTGGTTCTCTCCTTCGTTGGAGTTGGATTGTTTGTATTGTATTTTTCATACTTTTGATCCTTTGGGTACCACGTGCTTGATCTATTCACCATAATTGGAACACTATTTCAATCTTTTGCTCTTGATATTGAGATGAATCCGTGATTAAAATGAATGAGTAAAATCAGTTTTTTATTATTTTCTATACACGTTCCGTGCATAAGCAATCATGGAAGTTTGCTCACAAAATGAAAGTCATCAAAAGCTACTGCATCTTTGTCTCCCAATATATGTCGGGTGCTGAAAGGGGTTGTGAGATAAACTTTGGCCATTCATCAAAATCAAGGCCTTTCTTAATTTTGTGAACCAAAAGCGCCGATTTCTAGTCACATCAAAAAACTCTCGAACCTTCTTCGAGTTGAAAAACGTAGAGTTTGCTACATCCTCATGTTTGTAAGTACTTAGAACATATACACTTGCTTGACTCCATATTATGTTACAAACACATATCTTGGTGAAGGATCTGAGTGAACACCGAGTGCCAAGAAAGTGTGATTTTGTTGTGGATGTGAATAGAACATGGACGATTGATGGAAAACGTTTGGAAGAGACTACTCGACTTTCCTTCATTCTGTCCTTGAAGCATTCCATCTCTCTATCGCACGACGCACAATTCTCGTACCAAGTTGACACAACTTCTGACTATCTTGTGCTTGGTACAACTTCGCAAGTATGCTTTCTCGTTGACATAAGGAGTGAGATGTTGAACTGATGGTGTTGTTTTCTTCTTAGATGCATAAATGCAGATTTCTCGTCAGACATAATCATTCGGTATTATAGACATAGCATACTGCCTAAACCGCCACCAGGGAGAGAGTGATGTTTTCTACTCTTTCCTCCGGATCTCAATACCAACATTAACGTGTTAATCTCCAGCTTTCCAACTTTTCCAGGACGATATAATGTATTCCAGAGCGCATACCTTCTCTTGGTCATGCCTCAAAATGTTGGTTATGGATAAAGCTGAAAGTCCAAATTCCATCCGCAGGCCACATAAAACAGACAACACATAAAGAAACATAGTTTCTCAAAAAGTGGTTCATGCATTGCGATTGGAGGTGGGAAGCCCAAGTTCGCTACTACCGTAATAAACCTGGACTGCCGTACATGCTGTAGTTGACAAATTGGACCATACGGTCTGAAAGACATTGTACCATCAGAAACTGACATTTGGAACAGCGAATCTGTTCGCAACACCGTACTTTGGTTCTCCAAACAGATATCACTGCTCACACGCAGTTGTATCAAAAGTTCATCTACTTCGGTCCACCTGAAGAGGACAGACAGGTAAAGGTCCTCGCTGAATGTATTGATTTTGGGCACCCACCAAAAATGATACGAGTGCAAAGAGTGACAAGGTTGGTATGAATGTTACCACAGCCTTTATGAATCATCACGATCAAACAATCGTCTACGTTTAGATGCCATATCCAAAGACAGCTCGTATTTTGTGGAAAATAAGATCCCTCCATCCTTTCTCGGTGTTCTCAACAACTGTAGCATTGCCATATCTGCCAAAACGGTCGCACGGTCATATCAGTCTCTATAACATATTCGCAGCTGCGAGTCAAATACACATTCACCTCAGAGCATGCACTAATCTGCAGATAGAATTTTACCTGTCTTCCTCGGGAACATCGGTGTGAGTTAACTTCACCACGGTCAGTCCAATTTCAGGTTCTTCAAAAGTTAGTGATACCTGCGAGACACAGATTTCGGAAAAGGTCAGCAGGTAAAACCGGTTGGATATACAGCCATCAGTAGCAACGGCACACAGGAATAAAGGACTGAAAACCGTGTGGATTCACGACCTCTTACATCTGCTCAAGGGAGAGGAGCAAGACTTGAATTGTCATGTCCCATTACCTTCTCTACTAAGTCAACGGACGCGCAGGGAAAAATCAGACTTTGGCATAACAACGACAAAAAACAAAGGGAGTGCGTCACAATAGGAAGAAACAATGGGGAGAGGATGGCAGCCTGTACAACTGAGACGACGTAAGGAAGCCCATCCACTGCGACAACTTGGCCCATTCAGACAATAATCCGGTGGCTTGATGTCCAGCTGAGTATCACTACTTGTCCCTCTGGCTTATGAGTAAGTGCAATTTGATGAGCTGATCCAACGTAACGGCCTAATCGTCAAGATAGTTAGTAGTCAACCGAATTGCTTGACTTTCTTTCCAAGATGGATCGAGGAAAAACCACCTATGGACGACCAAGATATGCTCTCTGGGTATAGTATGGCTTGACAGTTCTAATGTGCGCAACAGATAGACGATCGGGCGTCCGTCTTCCCATAAAGTTCGGAAGTTTAAGGCATTCTTCCGGCCACACCCTGGTGAGATGAGCTTTGTTTACAATCGAATTACATTCAGATTTACAGCAATGTGCAGCTTTAAATCAAAATAACAACCTCTAACAAGTGGAATAGAGAAGCAGATTGGGACTCACGTGGGAGAAATGCCCGTCGGCCCAATTATTGAACCTCCATTTCTGCCTGATGAGCTTGTCTTCTTGCAGTTCTTCGTTTACTCCTGCGATAGCTCCATCGAAAAGTGTAAAAGAGCCTCCGACTTCTTTGCTAATGGTTGCCTTACTTTGTGTGAAACCCTTCCACCTATTTTCATCTAACAGTGTAGTGTACAAATCCCGCGGTCGACAATGAAATTTCTCCACGATGGATATAGTCTTGAAACCCTCCTTCAACTTGTTCTTCGGTGGAACGACCGCCTTCTCGACCACGACATCCTTCCCGCTTAGAACAGATTTCCCCTTTCCCACGGCGCCTTTCAATGGCGTTCCCTTTCCCTCCAGCTCGTCTTTGGCGGGTCCTCCAGCGGCAATCTCCTTGACGTAAGTCAACACTCTGGCCAAAACAATCGACTTACCCTTCGCATGGAACGCATCTTTCATTCTCTGACCAATAGGAGTCTCATCAAGAACCAGAATCTTCACCTCCGGCTCCTCATCGGCATTCTCGTCGGCAATGTACGGGAATTCCACCTTGCCTTCAACTTTGGACAGCACGGTGCCGCTGCCATCTTTCGCCTCCCCAACCCACGACACCCGCACTTTCAACTCATACCCTGGAATGATTTTGCCCTTCCTAATATTAACGTACGCCTCTCCCGCCACACTCTCTACCGTCGTCGTGGAGATCCACAGTCCTCCTTCCCCGGATAAAATCGGTACATTATTCAACAACTCCTCCAGCCGCTTCTTCGACCACTCCATGCAATCTTTCTCCGACCAGTGCCAGTTGTGCACATTTGCCCCGTCCTTTCGGTCCTCGACAATCCATCTCTTGTCGCCTTCACCAAATTTTGCCATATCCCCTCAGTGCACCCTCCTCTCACCACAAGCACGCCTCCGCTGCGGGGGCGATCGGCCGCAATGATCCCGCCACACACCACGAACCCTCTCCGCCGCACCGACCTCGGCAAGATCAGCTCGCTGCAGCACGATTTCGATGCCCCCCGAAACAAAAGAGCTCGCGGTGCTCCTCCAGGGCACCAACCAACAACCGAACCGATCAATCGGCCTTAACAGACAAGTGCGGGAGCAGCGAGTACTTGCGCATGAGCGTGCGTTCGGCAGCTGAGAGCGAGAGCGAGAGCGAGCAGGGCAAAGGTTTCCAGGGGCGAATTTAGAAACGAGGAAGGGTTTTGTAGAAGGCTCGAAAAATGCCACACGCCGTCCGACCCCAGACACTTCGAGAGAATGCCCGAGGCGAAGGTTCGGGAATTTGGAACACGAAGGTCCCGCACTCGAGGGACGGGAAGCAAGTGAAGAGGACGTTGATGCGCTCACTGCAGTAATGCTCGGTCACCCGATCACGGGTTCCACGTCAGGCTCATGCCCCGGACCGCTTTGTTCCCTTGTCACTTTCGTCGCCTTTTGGACCTTGATCTAACCTCGGCTCATCCCTTCGAGCACTCGTCGCTCTCCCTGTTCGTTCCAGTTACATTAGCACTCTGCTCAAAAGCAAAGATCCCAGAACACAGACTACGGTTCATTTGAAGGAAAGTTACGCGGTGACGCAGGGAAAAACTGTCTTTAGTTAAAGATTACTATGTCCATGGACGATACACGAATGATTTCCCTTGTTCGAAGATAAGTTTACTCTTCGCTGCTCGTAAACTCTCGTTCGATAAATTTATTTGAATTCCAGCTACTCTTTCACAGCGAAGGAGTTTATGGAAAACTAGTACTCTTTGTGCTGTTTGTAGTTATCTATGTCTTTCGTTGAGACTGCATGACCTATATGCAAGACTGATTAATGTAGGAGGTAGTACGTATGCCAGGCTGCCTAAACTAGATTCCGCGGGCGTGACCGATTATTCGTGGGAATTGCGTGGTTGGTTATTGAGAGCAGTGGAAAGTAAATGGTAAAGTGTTCTGTGGGTTGTAACCGTGCAAGTGACTTCCCTTTCACTATGAAGCATGCTGATGAATTTATTTTGAAAAAAAGCAGGTACACCCTTGATTTACACATCAAGAACCTACAGAAAACCGAAATTAATACTAGAGGAGAAGATTCAAGAACATGTATTAGATGCGGATATAGACAAATAAGAGTGCTGGATTTTAATGAGATAAATTGAAGTGTTCAGTCATAGATAAGGTTTCTTCGGATGGCAAATTAGAGTTCCTTCGTAGTGGTGTATTCCTGATAATCAAAGAAATCACATTGGGTTACTGTAAGTTCTGGAGAAAATAATTGTAATATTGAAGAGGAGAGAAAGCAGAGAAGGGTATCAAAACAGGGTGATAGACAACCTGAATACAGATTGAACGAAAGGTCTATTGCTCATGAACTGCGCATGGCTCCATTTTATGCACTCTAAATGGTTACAAAAGCTCTCGTTTGCACACAGCCTAAACTAAGTTCTCCTGGTGCGACTAAATTAATCTAATTTAGGCGCGGAGTAGACAAACCAAGCCTGCTTATATGGGTTTCAATGTATTCATCAAAATAATCACACATGATAGCAACTTGCTATTGGATAAATAATTATGATTTCATCATGTAACAAAATACAATGTTAGATCTGTGTCTTATAGAACTAATATGATTCCATGGGGTGATTCAAATGATATCTTTCTAAATAAATGTTCCATCTTATTCATATGTTTGTTCTTCAGTCAATCTCTAAGCACGTTCTTTAGAACATTCTTATCATGATCAATTTCAAGACGAGAAGTACCCTATTCTTATTCTGTATTATTATGATTTGTTAGTGGTTAATTTAGTTTTTCATTTAAGTCAAGTCAAGGAACTGAAGTTTGTTAGCTTGACGGATTGGCACTATATAACGGAAATCACGGAACATATCAGTGAAACTTTTTACCTTCTCTTTATCAGTAAAGGTTGAACTTTTCACGTGTAAGTAGCCCATTGGTGAACCAAGTATGTCCAGTGATGGTTGTGCTTGTGTCGATTGTGTGTGTTCACGTTCGTGTTTTCTTTTACCATGGGTTTTAAATTTGTAATTTTATTTCATATAAAATAGTTTTTAACAAAGTAGTACATTAAGTATTATATTTATTCCTCATGTATAAAAATACTTAGCATCAAAACATATATATTATATTTTTAAATATGACTACACTTGAATAAAGTTTATATATTTACAAATTTATATGTTATTCCTGTATTTTAAACTTCATATAATAGTTTAGAAGTAAACCTTATTATTCAAGTGAAATTAAGGTTTCCTAAATTGAAATGAGAAAGTATAAGGTTGAATATTTATTTAGCGGAAAGTTTCACATACAAATCTATTCCTCACATATACTCCTTCTCAATTTTGTATGATTTCATCTAATAATAAATAATTAGATTGTCACAATCCTTGGTGATGTTCAACATAAACTAGTCTAAAGTTGTAGAATAAAAAATACAACCTATTATTTTGATGTTGGAGTAATTGCTTTTCGCATTAAATTTTAAGCAGGTTGAGCATATTCGATCATTATAATAAACTCAATGAAAAGATAAATATGTTATATAGCAATAATTGTTTTGTAGTGTTATGAATTAATATATTATATCTAAGAATTTATAAAATGATTATTGATTCATGTACATAAAATCCGAAAAATACATTACTCGAAGGACATTTAATACTTTCTCTAAATGTAAATAATACATTCAAACTAACATATTCAATCCCCATAAGATGTACACAAAATTAGAGCCACTCGAAGTACCACATCTTTAAGAGGGTGATGGTAGATTTTGAGAGTCATCAGTAAAAAAAAAAACACATATGCATCTGTTTTGTAAAAGCTATACTCTAAAGGTTGTGAGCTTGTTTATTTTGACATATAAATAAATTTCCACGAGGTAGAGAATAAAATTTTTGAAGGGAAAGAATGTGTATTAAGAACATAAAAATACTAGAAATAACAGAAGTATCAACTTCAATTGTATTATCAAATTATTCATTGTGTATAAAGTGTTTTTTTAAGAAGTCTAGATATATTGCGCTCTGACATGATTGTATTTTCGAGAATAGCCCAGGTCGATAACACCATTCCAGGAATTGCAAGACTTTGGGTTCGGTAACAAAGAGTTATATGCTTATGTTATTTGTAGGAAAATAATCAATTCTAAGTAATATCGTGCATATGATAGAGGATCTTGTTTCGATTATGGAGGGTCTAATCTGTAGTTCATAAAATGAGAGCTTCACAGTTAAGCTCAATATTCCACTTGGCACCTCGCACAACTTTCGTAACCGAGGTTCTGAAAGCGTGATGTAGACATGGTGATGTTTAGCGACTAAAGAAGGAATTAGTAACGAGAGTAACGAGAGTAACAAGTGATCTTGAACGCACGAGTCGCGCGCGGCGAGCGAGCCCATCTCAGGTCGAGGATACTCGGGCACGTCGTCCGTCGACAGAATCTCGCGAGCGCTGTCTGTCCGATGCGCCTCGGCTGAGCAAGAGCGAGAGTCGAGCCAGAGTTGGTCGGAATCTTGGGTCCTCGGCGGTCGAGACTCGAACTCGCTCCCCGTCCGATGCTATGATTGACCTCTCTCTCGTGTACTTCCTGCGGGGCCTTTACGAAGCCCGTCGAGCTCGTCGTGCAGGATTCTGCGATCGACTGCCAGTAATAAGATCCTCGATCGCGGACGGGACGAGGCAGGGGAGGGGAGGGTTGGGTGGAGTTGCCTGTTTCTTGACGCCGGACAACTCGTAGAACTCGGATCGATGTCGCTGAACCGTGAACTTTGAATGAGATAGTGCCCTTTGGTGCGTTGGCAATTTTCCCGATGGCTACCAGGACCACGTCTGTGATGCCCCCTCGATCTGCAGCTGTAACTAAAGGTTACAGTTTCGCATCCACATGGGAGCAGGTACCTTTGGTTTTGCTCGGAATCAGGTGTTTCTTGTGCATTTTTCTTTTCGGGGTTCGTGCTGGTTGCAAGACGTTTACTGAGGATCGGGTTTCTATTGCAGAATGCGCCACTTACAGAGCAGCAGCTTGCTGCAATTAATGCCCTCGCTCATGCCGCAGCTGAGCATCCAATGCCGTCTCATGTGGTCAGTGCTCAAGGCTCTAGGGATATTTTGTTACCTGTTCGAGTACGTAAAGTTGTGAGATTTATGAAAGGAAGCCCGGAAATACATGCTCTTAGTTTATAACCGCGATTCTCTCCACGCCTTATATGGCACATTCTGTATGGAATGTATATAGAATTACCATTTTGCGCACGGAAGTCCAATCAAGCCTTTGGACTCGGTGTTTTGAATAAAAGAAATCGACTCGTTAATTTAAGCGATTTCGGGCACAGAAGCAGCCGCTGAACTTTTTTGCAAGACTTGAACCTGAATAAGTCCATTCGCTTGCTAGACTGCATTCTTGGTTTGTATGAGATCTGGAATGATCGTCGTGCAGGTCAGAGATGTGCCAATTGTCAAAGACCAGGATACTCCAAATGGTGCAAGCGACTTGCCAGAGCAGTTGACAGAGCTTGTTTTACTGAACAGCCACCAGGCAAGCATACTATCTCACGCGCGTTGTGAAGATCTATAAGTGCCAAGTCGTCATTGGTCATTTGAGTCATTGAAGCCAGGAGGCCAATATAAACGTTTATATGTAATGAGGTTCAACCGAAAATGTTGGTGTTTCAAGCACCAATTGCCATTTTTGGAACAGGTGAATTAATTTTTATGCACCGTTCTGCAGTTTTACAAGTGGCATAAAGACTTGGAAGCTGCGATGAAGTCAGAGGTCAAACTCGCCCTCTCCTCCTCGTTTGTTTGCAACAAATTTATTTTTTTCTTTGCATTGAAGTGGTTTTGAGAGATTTTATTTACCCTGAAAGACGCTCATACATCGCCATTTTCCGATGTCATGACAGTGCAGACCGAGGAGAAGTACAGACAATACGTGAACTCTCTCACTGGAGCTCTTCAAATCTGTGATACAACACTTGGTCAAGTAGAGCTCTCATCTGCCTTGCACCCTGCTAAATTTTGCTGTTTATTTTGATTTGCACTACTTTATGTTCTTTCATAGGTTATTATTCTTTGTCGAACAGTGCATATTGTTTCTCATTGATCATAAATTTTGGCGAGGTAGATACTTCGACTGAGCTGTTTTCTTTTCACGCCTGACGTGGCAGCTGGATAGCACTCTATCTCGATTCGATGACTTGCAAGAACAGCACCAAGCTGTTGCCACGAAAACGAAAACACTTCATGATGCCTGTGAGAGACTGGTACGTTACGCTTTGAATGAAACCTGCGTTCAGCCAGGATCCAACAACGAAATTTGTGGTTCTGAAAAGCAGAGCTAAAAGTGAAAGCAGATGAGTAAAAGATGGTCGGAATCTATATTGAAGAGCATTCCTCATCAGAAACCCCAATCAGTCATCCGTGCAGCACTAGATCCTGTGAAAATTCCTGTTGGACGACGGTCTGCTGTTTGTCGACAAAAAGGAAGTGTGTGGTGTGCTCAGATGCGCCACTCGTAAATTCACCAGTTGATGCTGCTTTTACTTTTTTGGCAGGTCATGGAAAAGGAGAGGTTGGTGGAGTTTGCTGATGCTCTAAGGAACAAGCTGAACTTCTTCGATGAGCTGGAGAACGTAAGTTTATAGATGTGAAACAAAACCATTAAAGCAAGCACCTATATCGAATTGACCCCTTCTGACAGTATAGTTATTTCGGAATGATTTACACTTAGACTCCTGTTTTAATCGAGTCCGTTATTACATGATTTTCTTCGAAAATTTTCGTTTTGATTTTCTGAAGTTTCACCTTTTAGTTGGAGGCGTTTGGAATGATTATAGACTAAGCTAAGAAATTTGTATCGGTTCAGATTGCAACGCAATTTTATGCCCCGACTATGAGTGTTGCGAGTGGGCAGTTCCTTCCGTTATTGAAGCGGTTGGATGAATGTCTCTCGTAAGTGGTGCTGCCTTCTCTCAAAGAACTCAATGGAGTTCAGCCTCTTGAGGAATCTTCCATTTTCAACAAAACATGCTTTTGTCTTTATGAGATTGTTCGCGAGATCATATTGGCTTCCTTTATACGATTTTCTCCAATTTTATGAGATTCTTGATGTTGATATCAACCCGATATGTTTTCAGTACATATTATGGACAGCTGGCTTTTCTTTGTTTTATTTTCTCATTTAATCTGAACTTATCCACTCATTCTTACGAGCCTGTTGCAGATATGTAGGCAACAATCCTCAGTACGCAGACTCGGCTGTGTATCTCGTCAAATTTAGACAGATACAGGTAAATGTGGTGGCATCTTGGCATGGTTTGTTCCAAAAGACGTCTGTTCTCATACTATGAACATACGCCATCAAGCACTTCTGAAATTCATGGGACGCAGAACAGGAAACTTCTGTAATTTTGAGGAAAATATTGAAGTTCCTGTAGTTTATACCATGCTTTAACCTTCATCTGCATGTTGCTATTATGTGTTAGTTTTCACAATGCGACTTCTATGGGGCCTGAAAGGAAGTGTATTGCTTTTTGACAGTCTCGAGCTTTGGGAATGGTTCGGACTCATGTTCTCGCTGTCTTGAGAAGTGCTTCAGTTCAGGTAAATATTTTTGCATGGAGTAAGAAATGTTTGAACTATTCAAGTATTCTTGGATGAGACGTTCCAACCGTCATGAATACGTTTTCTAATTACTATGAGATAAATCTCGATATGTAGGAATGTGCTTTAATATGTCATTTTCCAGGTTCAAACAGCTATAAAGGACAGTTTCGGTGGGAATGGTAGAACATCACTATCCGAAGGTGCAGAAACATCAGTACTGTACGTGAGGTTCAAGGCTGCAGCTAGCGAGGTATGATTCTCCAAACAGGAAGCTCTAGAGCTGCTGCATTTTTTCAACCGGTTCTATATCTCCTCCAGTCAGCGTCTTGTCGAAGCCAGAGCTGAATCAGATCTTTTATATAGTCCAATCGGTGGCCTCCACTTGGTGTACAAGATTTTACATCGTTTGTTCTTTTCAGCTGAAAATAATCATGGAGGAGCTAGAGAGTAGAGGTTCGCGCAAGGAGTACGCTCAAGTTCTTACAGATTGCCACACACTCTACTGTGAGCAGCGTTTGTCACTTGTAAGTGTCTGTTCTTGTTCTAGATTATTTTGATTATTTGCAAATTTTGGTTCCCAGAGTTCTTATGAGCACATGAGATAGTGGTGCAAACGGTAACGTGTTGTCAAATCTACTGAACACCCAACGACCTGTAAATTATTGTTGAGTCTTTCGGTTTATGGGTAATGGTTCAGGTGCGTCCCCAAGCCATTGTACTTTTTATGCCTGTTTCTGATCAAATTTGTCATTCAGGTGCAAGGAGTAGTATCTCAGCGTTTATCTGAGTATGCTAAAAAGGAAGCGTTGCCCTCTTTAACCAGATCTGGTTGTGCATACCTCATGCAGGTAATTTTTTCTAAATCCTTTATTTGTAGCTCTTGGGAATCTGCCGTAGGATTTCTTTTGATTTGTTTCTTGCCTTTCTGAAAGAGAAAAGACTCAAGTGAAGCTACGAAATGCAAATTGTGGACATGGAAATGCATTTGGTTTGATTACCACTTTATTATGTCCCTGGTGAAGCAGGTATGCCAGCTTGAACACCAGTTATTTGATCACTTTTTTCCAACATCTTCAGCCGAGGCTGCGACTCTCGCCCCTCTTGTAGATCCTCTGTAAGTAGTCTCACTGTATATATATTTCTATATATGTCAACCGCCTTCATATTGAATGAGATGAACAAGAATAAAATTAGTAATGGACAAATTTGACGAGAAATGTCCTAGCAGTGAATGTTTGACGTGTCATATTTTGGCAATCTGATCTTTTGAACATTTCAAAAGTTACTTCAACATTTTCATTGCGGATAACCTGATAGTTGATCAGACACGTGTCTTATCCCTATATTCATAGGCGTTTTAGTGTAGTTTTGGTAGGTTAGCAATGCTACAAGAGAGTTCTTTTCAGATGAAGATGCTTAGCAGGTTAGCCTCATTGTGGGGTTTGTTCCAGGCAAGCAAAATGTTTTTCAACTACCGAACAGAAGATGCACAGTGGGAAAGCCTTTAAGTAGAGAGAGATATTTGCATACGTAAGGAATAATTCTCTATTGTCATACTCTTACATAATACCAATGCACTGTCATCAGAACGTGTCTGAAGGAAAGGTAGAGATTTCGATTCTGGATACCGGCTTCATATGTCCATTTAAGAAGCTTATTACATAAGAGCAGACTTCTCGGGAGACAACACACCAATACTTGTTGTGATCTTAATCCCAATTAACATATCTGATTCTGTTCCTACAATGTGCGCAGGTGCACCGCGCTTTATGACACTCTACGGCCAAGGATGATACATGAAGCTGATCTTGATCTCCTTTGCGAGCTTATTGATATATTAAAGGGCGAGGTTCTAGATGAACAAATAGGTCGGAGAGGGGAGTCTGTAGCTGGTCTTCGTCCAACCATATTAAGAATTCTTGGTGATGTGCAAGAAAGACTTACTTTTCGAGCGCAGACATATATGCGTGACGAGGTAGCTACGCCAATTGTTATATCCTACGTATATGATTTGAAGTAGATATAGAGCAGTTACACAAGTTGTGTGTGTTTCGCACCTACATCTAACTCTGTTTCACACTCGCTGTCATCAGATTGCTAATTATCTACCGACTACGGAGGATCTTGATTACCCTGCGAAGTTGGAAAACGCAGCAGAGACCGGAGGATCTGAGGTAATACTTCTAGAAAGCTTACACTGATTGAGGATCCACTTTACTTGAGACGCTTTGACATTTACACCAAGTTGGGACAATTTCAAGTTACATTGGAATTCAACATTGACTTAGAACCAGTGATTTTGAAGAGTGTCTGACGTATATTGAATTTGGTTGAAGGATGACGATGGGAGAGAAGCACTCTCGGTCTGGTATCCTCCTCTCGAGAAAACTTTGTCAGTACTTTCTAAACTGTATCGCTGCATCGAGCCTGCGATCTTTACAGGTCTTGCCCAGGTACAGCAGAACATGTCCGTTTAGCCTCAAGTCTTTTTGACAGTAGACTCTTTGAGCCCTAATCTCAAGTTGCTTTTGAGCTCTCCTTATTTGAAAATCGTAGAGTTTGTTTGCAAACCAACTTTCACCATTTTCCTGGTGGAAAGTTTGATATGTAGCAATTGAAGTCTTGTTGATTTGTCATATTATAGGATGCGGTTGGAGTTTGCTCTATATCAATTCAGGTAATTTATTTCTTTCAGATGAACCTTTTTTTCCAATTAGATCTCACTCGTGTCTTAAATCAGATTTGCAAGCCTTAAATCACTTCAATACGTATGTAATTCATCCGAGCAGAAATATTTTTTTTAGTTATTCAAAAAAAATAACTTGCAGAGGTTGCTCAAAAAAACTTCTACAAGTTGAAGCATCCATGGTGTTGTTTCAGTGTAATAAGAGCAGACTTATTATAAATAGAAGTTTCTCCATCGGTGTTGTTAACTATTTAGCCTGATTTATGTTGTCTTTATCCAGCGCTCAAGCAGGCTTATAGCAAAAAGGGCATCTCCCATGGATGGGCAACTATTTCTGATCAAGCACTTACTCGTACTTCGAGAACAGGTTCACTCTCTGCTGAAGACTCTTACGCATATATGTACCGCGTTACTTTATTCGCACTGTCGGCATTTATTGATTACTCACCTGATGTGGTATATGATTTATCATATGACTCTAGATTGCACCTTTCGACATTGAGTTCTCGGTAACGCACAAGGAATTGGACTTCACGCATTTGCTTGTAAGTAACTTTTTCTTTTCTCCACAGCTTATACTTTCCTTGAAAGTGCAGTAGATACAGATTTTTATCTACTGCTCTTTACGTGCAATGTTTTACAACTAGTTCTATTGGTCGTGGGTAATTATACCGTATCGTCGTTGGTTGTTTAGATATGTATAAAAACAATTTCCCAACTATGATTGCCACCAAATTTTCCTCCCTTCTGTATTTTACAAGGGATGAGATGTGCAATTACCTCCAGAAGTAGTGTGTACTGAGCTGGGAATGATTGTGAACGTACAATTGGGACTGGGCCTTTTACGGATATCTGAAAGTGGTAGGATTGATGGATCTTGTGATGTGTATTATACAGGAACATCTTCGCCGATTCTTTAGGGGACAAGGCCATGTATTTGACTTCACAAGCAGGAGTGCTTTGGCTCGTACTTTCACACCTCGTGTTTTAGAGAATCAAGTTGATGCTAAGAAGGTAAGCGCTGATTATGATTAAAACTCACAATGAGTTATAACTTTTAAAGTTCATATACCTTGGGCGATAGTTCTTATCTTCAGTCCGTGAAGATAATGAATTCTCTGCTCAAGGCCCTACGTTATGGCAATCTTGAATATTTTGTTCTTATATGCTAGAAATGTATACATCACCTTAGACGAACTTGAAGTTTAATACTCATTTTACATTTCACTTCGTCTGGAAATTGCTTTAGAATGAAATCTGACAAAACTTTCTGTTGCTTCAGGAGCTAGAAAAGAATCTAAAACTTACGTGTGAGCAATTTATAATGTCGGTGACCAAACTTGCTGTTGAACCCATGTTGTCTTTCATCACCAAGGTTCTCTTCCTTACCAAACCTACGATTGACAAGTCCCTTTTATTAGTAGATTTAAAAGCTGAGAATCGAGATTCTGGGGTTTTATCTTTGTTATTTTTGAAATCAAATCTCTGTACTTGGAATCAGGTTACAGCTCTGAAAGCCTCTATGACAGCAAGTGCTAGAATTCGAGCCACAGATTCCGAAGAGCCGAAGGCATTGAAAGAACAAGCATTTGCAACTCCTGAGAAGGTTGCAGAGATGATCTCAAAGGTTAGGCCAGATTTCACCATTGTAGTTCCATCAAGTTTGCCGTTCAGTAAGAATTAGAGTGAAACTAATTATGTTTTTGATTACTTTCAGGTTAATGAAACGTTGAAGGATGTTTTACCTGGAGTGGTGATCAAGATGAAACTCTATCTTGAAAACTCTTCCACTCGTTCTATCCTCTTCAAACCTATCAAGTGAGTTAGTGCTGTAGTGAGCATATATATCTCAACCAGGGTGTAGGGTGAGACATGAAACTCGTGGTTTAATGTCCATAAATCATGAATTTTTTTTCTGAACAAATCGAACTTTGCCGGTACTAACTTTATGATATATGTTGCAGGTCTAACATTGTCGAGGCCCATGGACAAGTTTTAGGAATAGTAGAAACTGAATATACGTCAGAGGATGCAGAAAGTCTTCATCTCACAAAAATTTCTGATCTGCAAGCCTACTTAGATGAACTTTGCTGAGTTAATCTTGTAGAATCTGTACCTGTGCAAGACTTTTGCGGCCTTTCCAAGCAGGTTCCACCATATTTTCATCACGTTATAGTGGGAGGTCACACATATTTTGTTTCTAGGTATGTTTTCTCTCCAAGGGCGAAAGATTATTGGGAGAACTTAGCTGGACTTGGCCCGGATTAGATACCTCTATGTGTCTCAAGAGGTTTGTAAATAGTGACTAGGTTGGGAATGTCAGCCTTTACTGTCAAGAAAAGCAGTTTCTACTGAATACACGTCGTAGGAGTTGAAAGCTTTAGGGATTAGGACTATTTATTGATGGGTTGATTACTCGATCATCCGTCCCATAGTACATAGCCGTATAGCAGAGGCGTAGGTACCTTCGAGATTTATTGGCAAGTTGATCATTTTGTAACAGACGTTGAGGAGTTTGAAGAGACGGAGAGTAGAATTGAAGAGCTTAAAAGATATCAGTGTTAGAAATTAGCTGCTTTTTACTGCTGTATACCAAATTCATCTCTGTCATAAGAATCTGTCATTATCGGAACAGAGATTATTTTGCTGGTATTCAAAGGCAGACTTGAAGCAAAGCATTTTGGGTCCCCATCGGACATCTTAGTTGACGTTCCATTCTCCCAAATCCTTTGTTTATGTTAGTGAGTACAGCGTGTGGTCATGTCTTGAGTGTCTCGTCGGACGATATTATATATCGATTTTAAACTTGAGATAATGTACTTTTTGTGACCCAGACAGGAGCCAATCGTAATGATTGGAGTGCAAAGGACTCTTCGGAAACATGTTACAAACTGTTTGGAGCTAGGTGATGTTTCGTGTACATTGCTAAACCACGAGTTGCACGATGATCTGTCTCACCAAGTCAGTTTTGGATGGAAGCTAATATCACACAAGATGTTACTTCAATTGAGTTGTCCAATATAACTCCAAGTTAATCCATATGGATGTATTTGTGGTTCAGAGGTATTGAATGATATATTGACTTAGTAGTATACTGAACATCTAGTTAAAATTGTTGTATTTAAGTCTGTAAACCTCTCCACCATTGATACTATAAAGTATTGATCGACACAAGGTAATGTCTTGATGATTAGTTTCTTAAACACAAATCACATTATTGGGTAAAAGATCTTAATCTAGGCTATAAATTTCGATTTAAACAATATAAGTATGTTGAGTTTATGATCTCCTTGTGCGAATTTTCATCTTAACTTTCATTGTCCAAATCAACATCTGCCAGCGTAGAATTTACACTGAATGTTAAAGTAAAGATAGTTGCAGCTCAAATTGCATATGTGAAGTAATGAATAGCTAACAAACGGTTGATGTCTCCCATTCAAAAAAACAGATGCAACAAGTATACTTTGTTAACAATTCGAGATATTTTTTCCTTATATTTGCGTCTGTAAAAATTTTTATATGTCTAGTGCGAAAGGTTAGACATAGAAGAACTGACGGGGTCTCTTCCCTTGAATGTGGTTTTTCGTTTGTATTGTATTTTTCAACCTTTTGACACTTTCGGGTTTGATCTATTACCATTTACGATAGCTAACTTTTTGTAATAAGATTCAATATCAAATTATGCTTGTATATATAATTTTTATAATCATCGATCTATAATTAACCAGATCATACTGAGAATTTTTACCCTCCTATTTCGTGCAAAATTTTATAAGTATATAAACTCACTATGACAAACTTGGTTAAACATTTTACCTCGTTTCTTGTATTTATTTGTCTGTAATGCGAATATTTATTTTTCCTTTCAATGATATGAGATCACTATGTCATTTGGAAAGTTTCAATACATTGGAAATGGTTATTACACCTATTCATTCAAACAAGTAGCATAGGAATTAAACTCTGAACAGAAACTTTTTGATTAAATTCAATCCTGAATAAAGCCACTTGAGCTTAAATCAAGTACCTACAACTATCATGATTAATTTAACAAATCAATCATACTTGAATGAAGCATGAGACGGTCAGTTCAGTCTCCTCATCTACCTGTATTACATTCACATCAAAACTCTTTGCTTAGTATTTGTTGACAACCTGAAGATTATAGCTGACATACAAGTCCTAGTTCAAGTCTATATCTTAACATATATGTTGATATTATATGAAAGCTGTTGTTTTAAAGAGTCAAGACTTGCATGCTAAACTTTCATGTTCAGTCTTCCATTCTCCCTTGGTTGACATGTGCTTACGTTACTCTACAGAGAAATGGACGCAATCTTCTCATCGATAATGGATGTACGTATTGACCGAAAACTCAGAAACTTGAATGCACAATCCTGTGAAGAGAAAACCGAATTACTGCAGTGTTCAATCTTGCTTTGTGCCGAAAGTGCCAATATAACGATTCATCATCAGGAATATCAAGTCTTGTGGTGGGAACAGGAATCATGAACAAAATCAGGTAATGTGGAGTGAACATGAATGAGTAGCGTGAGAAGGTTGAGTCCAGGAGAGTTCAAGGAATGAGGAGAAATGATGACAGATTCAAGTTGCCATGGATGGACGAGGACAAGGCATGAGCTCTAAATCGTCAAATTCGAGTCTAAAAGGCAGGGCCATGATCTCCTATGCACCGTTACTTCGACGATTCAAGCGTTACAAAATATGATACCAAGCTCCGACGAGGCGAAATGAATGAAATCCTTCCAAAATTTTCTGAAGCATTTGCTCCCTCATACTGCTTTATCCAACAACTCTATACTCTCTCGACCTCTTTCATACAGAAGTTAAACATTGATAAAATACCAAATTGAATGCGTAGGTACAGAGAAAGGGGTCAAGCTTGTGCCCCTCCACGAAGACCGAATGGAGATTTTCATCTTCTGGCCACCATTCCTTTCGTCATTAGAAGTTAATTGGTTGGATTCCCAGTACCAGTGTGCCCACTGATCGGAACGAACAGAGAAACGTAGCTGAAGTGGTACTGTAATTATTCACATCAATTTTGGCATCATTATCATCGGCCACCCTTGGGTCTTGCCTCTGGCACCGTAGCCACAGCTCTAATGAGCGGGTTAAGTGAGGCATGTCTGAATCACGATAAGATGCAGGAGTCTTCATTGCTTTTATTAATCTCATGGGTTAAGCAAATGGGAAGTAGTAAGTAGACTTTTCTATGTTTCTGCTGAAATTCTTTAATGTAAAATTTCACTTCACCCAGATCTAATTGCCGATGTGGGTACAACCTCCTTCCTGACTTTAAATTGTTATGTATCTGTATTTCTAGATCTGCATGGATGATGATCGTGCAGAAATTTCTTCTTAGTTGTGGACTGAAGTTTTAAATTTAGATCGCATATGAGCCTCTCGTCAGTGCTATAAATCTGCTTGGGATCTCCTCAGGCCGACCACGGCTGTCCGGCAGCATTCAAACCAGTTACGAAATTTTTACTGTGAGATGAAAACAGCGCAAAAAACTCAAGTGAGGAACTGACTGAGGTAATTGCTCTACTTTACGTTGAGTTCATTGACAAGTCTGGTCCCATCATACTGCTGCCAGTACGTGCAGTCATTACCAGAAGTTAGATACAGCGAATGTCAAGCATTTGGTCTTTCTCAAGTGCTCACTCAAAGATCAGGTACGGTTGTCGGACGAGCATTGTACTGTGCTCAGAAGCTGTTTCAGCAGAGAGGAATAACATGAGTACAGTACAGCTACTTCTCCTTGCTTACATCTCAATCCCTCCCTCCACTTTGTACCATTACGTATTCTCCTTATATTCTCTTCGTTCGAAGGCACGCGTACTCTTCAGATTTATTCGCTAAACACCAACTCCTGGACCACCGTTATATACCGGCTGCAACCTCCGCCTTCTTTTTGGGATTCTGATTGGTGAGCTCCGAACAAAAGTCAGTCTTCTTCGGTGTTCGTAGTCACTGAGATGATTGCCATTCCATGGCCTGGAGGTCGGTTCTGCGCATCGTCAGCTCATTTGTACCGCAGATTCAGCATTCCTCTCTGGTGACTCGACTTGTAGTGTCCGTGTGCAACAATTTAAGATGTCGCCGACCATCGTCTAAGATGAAATTTTCGTGGAGATGGCGGCACCGGAAATTGTACAATGAACTGTCTACCGTGCAGTTTTCACATTAGATGGGGTTTATAGAAGACTTTCTCACTAGACAATGCAATAGGTGAAACCCACGCCGTCATCATGTTCGCAACTCCCAGATCTCTGCTGTATTTTTCAATGACAGGGAATTTAAACTCTAAGGCCTAAAATGACATCGAATGAGAGTCGCCACCCGATCGAATCATTCTAGCTGAAGAAAGATGAATGTGAAGAAACATAGTAGCTTCTGAGCATATAGGCACACTCGTGAGTTTCAATCGAAGACTCCGGTATGACAGGAAGCGAATATGTCACAGGCAAGAAAAGATGAATCCCGATCCATCAAGTTACTTTTCATCAGTAGAGTTCCTGGCAGCCCAGTTCGGGGCTTCTGACTGTACAAAGGCAAGTCCCTTCAGAGGGTTCCTTTAATCCATGGACGAAAACATCAACGTCAAACGGAAGCGAAGTGGGAGAATGTGCAGTAGAAGTCCAGTCCAGTCCAGTCCAGTCCAGTCCAATCCAGTACAGTACTATGCTGTACTGATTGCAGTCTCGGTAAGTCCACATGCGCTAGATCACATCGGACGTCCAATCTGATCATCCGACAATGTCAGAAGCATCGTTTCCTGCGTACAGAATAGCTGGAAAGGCGAGGAAGTGGACCCGTTATCGGCGTCTTTTCATTCCCACACTTCCGGTCGCTTTCGACAACAGCAGCAGCCACAGCCTCAGGACTGGAAGCTCAAGTCCTACAGCGCGCAGACTAGAATCTCAAAAGCCTCAAAGACCACTTGTGAGTGATTCAAGGAGTGAGTCTCAATCCTCACATCTGGCTGCGTCTCTCTACGCACGAGCCATATCCAACCTTTCCCGAAAAGAATGGGCACCATTCCCAACGCGTCCGTCCTGTTCCTTCATTTCCACGGAACCAGGCATCCATCATTTTCTTCTGCTGATCCACTCGACATCGTACATCCGGGAAAAAAGGTCCATACTTGCTCGCAATCTGCTAATCACAGGATTGGTTCAGCACTTCGTTCTTTTCAGATGAAACGAAAAAGGAAAATCAGGAACAAATTATTCGACCCAAAGCTTCCTGACGAAGACATGAATGACCATTCTGCATATATATATATCACAGGACCTCCCGGTTCCGAAGCGCAACTATTATGATTGCTGGATCGTGAGGGCACAGACATTCATTCCGTAGTGCAATGGCCCCGACCATGGCCACCGGTAACCGCCTGAGCCTGCAGCGTGGCCCCATAACCCCCCATAACCCCCCTTCCCCGCTTTTTGCATCTTCCGTTATCGGAACTTTGGAGCCCGTACAGGTTTTCCCTTCCGCTTCGTCTGGCGAGCAGCAGCGTTTCTCCCCGTCTTCCTCAACCGGCGCTTGTCCGGCCACGTCGCCCAAGTGGAAGACGCAGAGCTAAGCGTGACGTAAGTGCTGTACTGTACCAGCGACTGACTGCTGAAATTCAAGGTCGCCGTGTTTAGATCTCCATGGACCCAAATATGAAGGATAAGTTTCTTGTCACTAGCCCAGAGTAGCTTCAAATCCATTTGGACAGGTGTATCTCTCTCTTGCAACCTCAGCTCCTGCATCTTAGCGTCTAACATATTTTATGCCGACCATATTACTCGTATGATG